TCCCTCGTTCCCCGTAAATGGGGGAAACCTCCAAAAAAATTACAAATTTAAAAATTGCTAATTTTCGAAATTTTTTCAATATTTTTTACTTAAAACTGCCGTAACTTTTTCAAAAGTAAACATATCAATATAATTTTTTTTTTATAGATGCTTGATGTCTTTACCTATCATTTGGTATATATTTTTTGTAAATCTGACCCTTTATCTGCCCACAGGGAGGAATTTAAAATGACAACTTTTTCAAAAAAAATTAACTTTTGAAAGTGTTCCGGAAGGTCTGACACTTTTATATATATCTTAAATTAAAGCTTATGTAATATACTTTAATTTGAAAAAAAAAAATTGACCTCTGGACTTGTATTCATGGTGAAAAGAGACATCAAAGTTAATCAAAAATTACGATTTTTGTAAAATAATGTTTTTTTATATTTAAACTTAATAACTTTTTCAAAAATGAACATATCAATATAATTTTTTTTTATATAGATGCTTGATGTCTTTACTTATCATTTGGTATATATTTTTTGTAAATCTGACCCTTTATCTGCNAATTTTTTAATAAACCCTTTTTCATTCGACATACTTTATCTTAATCGAGATATTAATAAGGAACCAGCAGATCAAGTAGCTTTTGGAATAAAACACCAATTTTTTTAAAATTAAACACTATCTAATGATTTGCATCGAAGCGTTTATTTTTGATAGTGATTTTAATCACTGTCAGATATCATTATACTTGATCCAACTATGCCACGTCACCACTGTGCCGCAACCCCCCTGTGCTGGGTTTTATTAAAATTAATGTTATTAAGAATTTGTCAAGTTTATACAAGTTTAACAATTATCATAGTTTCATTTATATAAAAACATTTTAAAGTCTTCATAAAAAAACTAGGGTATGAGATTTGAAATTAATAAAAATAATTTTTAAACTAAGTTACATCATTTTCAACAGATTCCAATTGATCAAGAATTCGATTCAAAGATTTCATATTTTGTTCAACATGCTTTAATTCTGAAGTGGCAGAGTCTACTAAATTTGAACACCATCCATTTAGTTGAGTAGTAGATGAACAAGCATTTACTGATTCCACAGAACATAAAAAAAAATTGTATTTTGTTATAGTTATAATTAAGTAAAAAGTATAGCAGTTGCAAGTAATTATTTAGCAAAATTACAAATGTATTTTAACAAAGTTATACCACTATGATACAATTAACATCTTATACAATAATAATTCTCATTCTAAATAACAAAAACCCATTTAATTTTTAAAGTATTACTTCAAAACACTCTTCTTCTTCTTTTTCCTCGCCTTAATCCTAACTACTTGGGGTTAGCCACCCTTATCTTAAGCTTTCACTTGACACGATAACCTACATTATCTATGGTCACATCAGCCATCCTCATATTGCATTCAATTACATCCCTCCATCTCTTTTAGCTTCAATGCGAAGCTGAGAAGGTATTGGTTTTTTGGTCTTCTTTCTTCAACATTCATTTCTATAACTGTTTTACCGCTTCCTATTCCTCTCTCCTCATAACATAACCAAACCATCTAAGTCTATTTTCTCTCATCTTATCTACCACTGACGTTACACCTATACTCCTTCTTATATGTTTGTACTTCAAAATATATAATTAAAATTATACAAAACAAGTAATAATATAAACCAAACATTGTGATATATTATAATATGTTTTTCTCTTATCACCTGCAGTAGGTTGTTGAGTAGGAGGTTGTTTGCTAAATCCATATGTTAGTATGTGTTGTCTGTATAATCGATGGTGTTTTATTTCTTTTACCCAATCAGAAAATGCTTCATAAGTTTTAGCCTAGAATAAAATTAATATAATGAGACGACTAAAAATAACTGTATTTTAAAACTGTCCCAATAAAAATAACTATATTATTTTAATAAAATATTGAATATTGATTAATTTAAAATAACAAAATGATTCAGTTATATTCATCTCATAAAAAATTACTTAATCTTATTAACCGTTTGACCCAGATTAATTATTCATATATCACTAGATGAAGAAAAGTTTTCAAGTCTATTTTCATTGCCAATAATTGTATTTGGTGATAATGATAATGATTAATACAAAAAAATCAATTTATTAAAAAATGGTGGTTTTATCACAACAAAAAGTATTTTATGACTAAGTGAGCTACATATGTTCAACTTGATTTACATAAAACTTATTGTAGTGAATACTTTGAACACTAACTAAAACAAATGATACAACATATTCTGTTGCAGTATACATCACAGATTAATTGTTGACTATTTATAATTATAATCGACAACCACATACAATTATTGGTCATGGAAATAAGTTTGACAAACTTAACTTTATCTAATATATGATATACTAATAATAAACCAAAATTAAAATTTAATTAAACAGTGATTGGATTATATTAGTTTGTAACCAAATAAAAACTTTTGAATCATTCTGGAGTTTTTATTATTATTATTCAATATAAAACCAAAAAGTTAACAAATTTTTATTTGTTTTACAATAATAAAAAATCATATATTATAAAAATTACAAAATACTATAAACTTTGAATGCTGAAAACTTACTTTTAAATGATATATAAATTCTTCTGCGTCAATATCAAGTCGTTTGCGTTGATACTTAGTAGAAATAACAGACAAACCAATATCAACTTGGCCATGAATTTTACCTTTAGACATATCTAAAGGACTTTTACCATACTTTAAAATCCCTTTGTCCAGCACAAAATAGCGCTAAAAAGTTACTTAAATAATTTAACTAATATAAATGTGAAATGAAGTTTAGTTTTTAAATAAGATTTAAATAGTTTTATTTTATAATCATAATAAAATTAATAATTAAAAAAAAAAATTAAATTATAGAATTTTACTAACCTTGTGCCATCCTTTCAATGGCCATTTACGTTTTTTATATAAATATCCTCTGCAAATTTCTGGTTTTTTTTCATACCTCTGACCATCTTTTAAACCTTCCACAATTTCCCATTCTGTACCTCGGCGTAATACTTTTTTTAGTCCTTAATATTCAAAATTGTTTTATAGAAATTAAATATAGTATATATTTTTTTTTTCTTCATATATAAATATTAAAAATGAAATGAAAATGAAAAATAATCAAGAATTTTTTTTAATTTTACAATTTGATTTATAATCGAAGAGTCTAATAGATTAAGATAAAACTTACATTTTCATAACAAAAAAAGGAAAATATTTTCAATTAATATCTCATTACTTTTATTAATATCAATAACAAGTTACACTTGTGTAAACGGTATAAAATACTAGTATATTAGTCTAATATTTTATTCATTTAGTATTATAATTATACCACATTTTTAAAAACTTATATCAACTCAATTCTTATATTAAATTATTATTGACATGAAATATCTAATTAAATTTTATTTCAACAATAAAAATGTATTTATTAATTGAATATCAAAAAAATTAAAACTTAAAATTTAGTTAAAACCTTTTCCTAATAATCTGAGCATGATATACAAATTTCTAATCATCAAATATGGTATTTTTATACTTAATGGAAAAAAATACCAATTTAGTAACGTTTAAATAAACCTAAGTAAATTTTTTTTAAAAATTCTTATGTCTAATGAATAAAATCATTAAATAGATGTTAATAAATACTATCTAATAACTATCAATATAAGTTCCCTTATCTAGAGCTTATACATCAAAAGTAATCTATTTGTTAAATTAATTTAAATAATTTTGTAAAAATACAAATATTGTATACATTTTATTTCTTTTATTCGTAATACTAAAAGATTTTAATCAATTTACCAGGTTCTCTTTCAAGCTTTCGTTTTTGGTAAATTATTCCATCTTCCTTTGATTCTACTGATGGTGTATTACTATCTACACTCACATCCTACATTTGAATATAATATATTAGTATAATAATTATAATATGTATATCAAAAATTTACCGAATCTGAATTTGCAACGGTTGTTCTTCTTTTAAAACTCAATTGAGGAGATTTTTTCCTATCCATTTCACTACAAGGAGGAATAGTTATTGAGTTTGAACCACTGGCCATACTACTTTACTAAATTTTAAACAAATTATGTGATAATATTCTAAAATAAATTAGTAGGAAGGTTGTAAAGTGACATGATAGTTCATTATTATACCAATTATTAAGAGAATTGTAGTCAAGGTTAGTGATTTCTGATTATCATTAAAATAGGTTGTATTGTATATTGTATATTATAATTACATTATCATTACCCATACTTCTGTTCACAAGGTATAATTTAACATAAAATAAAAACTGATTGTACCGTACAAATTATTTAAATTATAAAAGATATTTTACGTAGGAGAATTGTTTATAATTATTAATTGTTTACAATCAGATATCACAGATTACGCTTAGGTAGGTCCACTCTTCAGTTTTTATTATTAACGTGATGGGCTTCAAAAAGCTGACATGTAAGTGAGCGGCGAAAGGCCAATTTTTTCTTATCACTTAATACTGGTAACACCATTGTCAAAATTGATACTAAATGTTCAAGCCATGAGCCAACGAAAACCGTTCTATTAATATTATTTAAAAACAATTTAATATACGATCACTTCCTAAAAATATTTTGAAGAAAGATTTCAATGGATGTGAGATTACAATTCTATTTATAATATACTTATAAAAAAACATGAATTAATAAAAATATAGAATTAGATGTATTGTTTATCATAAGGTAACATTTTGGAATGTATGCAGAGAAGTATTAAGAAATTTTACGTAACAAGAAAAATAGTCCTTTCCTGAATTCAAATTATTTCAAACTATATTCAGAAATGCTCTTAAAAGTTTTATCTTTCGAGACCCACTCATCTTTGTCTACCCTAAATGTTCATTGTTCATATGAACATAGGGTTGGCACTAAAACTTCGTTTTTGTAAAAAAGGAAATGTTTGTTTACCTCGTCAATTTGGTATACATACATAAATGCTTCGTAACTGTAGCATAATTTGATCAAAATTTTAGAAGTCGCAAAATTAATCTATTTATCTTGTAAGTGATTGGAATTCTTAACCCTCTCTAATAATGTTATTACAAAACATTATTAAGACTTAAAAAATTTGCTTGCTTTTTTAAGTTGAATATACAATTTCGAATTTTAACGATAAACAAAAAATTATTAATTATTATAAGAACCAGTATAAAGCCCTTAGATTTTATTAGGGATCGTAACTGTGACATCTAGCTAAAAAAAAAAAAATTACTTTGTTGCTTTAGAGATGAAAGTAATAAAATACATTTTTTATAAAAATAAAATGAGGAAAAATTAGATTTAACAAAATTTCTTTATCTGTCCTTCTCCTCGAAAGAAATTAATTTATTAATATGGGGTTACGAATGTTTTTATGAGTCTGAATCCCCCATAAGCTTCATGCAAACTACACTAATGATATTTAGATACTTAGATATCACATATAGTACAGACTATTCATAATTTGGGGATAAAAAAGTCTCTCTAGCATCTCTCTAGTTGCGCTTATACCAAGACACCTTTTCAATTATTTCACGAATCGTGCAATTTATCAATAAACTCATTAAGATGACATTTTAATTAGATAAATGAAATTTATATATATATATATATATAAATGATATTTCTATGTCTTATTTGATAATTTGACTGTTTTACACAGAGTAATTCACTTAATTAATCAAATATAAGAATAATATTGATTATTTGTTTTATTAGTTTCTTATTTTAATTCAATGTTTTTCTTAATTTATTATTCATGAAATACTTTTTATTTTCATCCCTTATGTATAAACATGTTAATATATTCCGAAATACTGATACAAAAATAATCGAAATATTATCGATCAGTCATTATCTTAATTAGATCAATATCTAATAAATAAGATAGTTATATGTTGTCATTTTAAAAATTAAAGTTGACACCTTTATGAGGGATGAATATGAAAAATACTTCATGATTGATGAATTAAGAAAAATATTAGACTAAAAGAAACCAATAAAAAATTATTAATGAAATTTTTATATTTCGATTAATTAAGTGGTTCATGATATTTTTGTTAGAACCGTTTAAGTTTGTTAAAAATATTTTTTAATAATTGTATTTATAACATCATATAACATCGTACTTGAGTTTTTTAAGTGTTAATTTTAATAAATTATTTACTGAATTCACCAAATTTATTTTCAAATTATTATCTTAAGGAAGTGATTTATCCTATATTCCTTTCCATTAGCCATTGCTAAGATAAATCATTTCGAAAATAATTACATTTCTACAATAAACAATTCTAATAGAAAAAATTAGTTATTTGTAAAGTGGTTTGAATACACAAATTCGCCAATATTTATCTTCTTTTTGTTTTCAGTAAAAAATCTCCTTGTAAGTTATATGGCGACACTGTACCGATCGGTGTCCGTACTGTTTTTACCCAACGATCGCCGATCAGCATTCAGCGTCTTTAGAGCCTGTTTGTTACGTGTATTGTGTTATTATTATTTTTCTCATGTTCCTTTTCAGTATAAATTTATAAATTTAAGTAGAAATTTACATCATCGTTTGTTTGGGTTAATAAATATTCAATTGTTTTTGGAATGTGACAATAAGTTATGTTTGTCAATGGTGGCAACAATTTATGATCTACACATATTACTTTTTTTCTCTGCAATGATTTTACTGTTTACCTAGAACTTCTTAACTTTATTAGTGTTATGTAAGTAATTTTATTTTAATGTCATTTAGTTAACGTTTTTAATAATATTTTATTTTAGAATTTTATTTACCTAGTTCGTTTACCGGAATTAAATTAATTTCATGTTTTCTATATTTTACGCATTTTTATTATGAAACATCAAAATATATTACGAATGAACTAAGGGTATTAGTTATTTTTACTTAACCAATTTTATTATTATTCATTAAAATAAAATACTTAGTTATGTGTATTTATGTGTTAGAGTTTTACTTTTATTATTTGTTTTTTAAGTAAAAGTATATATTATAGTATTTTTATTAATTATTAATGAATTTCTAAATTTTATTTACAATTTTTGGAACAGTAGCATTTAAAATATTTATTTAGAAATTCACTTAAAAGTATTCTATATATATGAATATTGCTAAACAATTCTTAAGTATTTATAGTTTGATAATTATCAACTTCACAAAATAATTTTGTTTACCAGATACAAAAATTCAGTAATTTTTTAAATCATTTTTTTTAGAAAATAGTTAAATATATATTAAAAATTATTTAACAAATATATTTGAATATATTTAAAGTTTATTAAATTCATTTTATTAGATTATCACAATCAAAATGCAAGAAGATATGATATATCCAGCTGGATGTCGCCCTGTGACTGATGATCTTGGACCTGATGAACTTATTAGAAGACTCAAAGTATTAAGTTAATCTTAATAATTCAATATTATGATTTAATTTATAATATTTGTATTTAGACATTAGCTCATACTCTTCAAGCTATGGGTCAAGATGAAGGAATGTATCAACAGTATATACCATTAACGTTACATTTGGCTGAAGATTATTTCCTTAAACATGCAAGTAAAGATGTTCAACTTTTAATTGCTTGTTGCATTGCTGATGTTCTAAGAGTTTATGCCCCTGAAGCTCCATATAAAGACCCTGAACAAGTCAAGGTAAAAATTAGTTTCTAAATTTCAAAGTATAATATCTGTCCTTATCAAAAAATTTCCAATTTTCTTTTGGTTTCAGGGTATATTTATGTTTCTTATAAAGCAACTTGCAGGTCTAAAAGATCCAAAAGATCCAGCCTTTAAGCGCTACTTTTACCTTCTGGAAAACTTAGCTTATGTCAAGTCGTTTAATATGTGCTTTGAGTTAGAGGATTGTCAAGAAATATTTTGTAAACTTTTCTCACTTATGTTTAAAATAGTAAAGTAAATAAAACAATAATTTATCTAAATATAACTTGTATTACATTAATTTCTAACCAAAATCAATTTTTAATTAACTTTTCAGTGATGAACATTCAACTAAAGTAAAATCATTTATGTTAGATATATTATGCCCCCTTATTTGTGAATCGGATATGGTGTCGAGTGAGCTTCTTGATATTATTTTAATTAATATTGTTGAACCTAACAAATCTCAGAGAAAAAATGCCTATTCGTTAGCAAAAGACCTTATTCTTAAATGTTCAGACACCTTAGAACCTTACATTCAATCGGTTTGTATTATTTTTATAAGGTATTATATATAAAACACTTTTATAGCACAAAAAAAAAAATAGATAAAATATAATTGGATTTTTGTTATCATTAGTATGAAATGTGTTTGTATTAACTTGTTCACATATTTCATACATCATTAATTTAATAATATTGAATTTTTTTTTATATAGTTTTTCAATCATGTCCTCATCTTAGGAAAAAATGAAAAAAATCTTGCTATAAGTACCAAAACATATGATCTCATATATGAATTAAACAGGATTAGCCCCTCTGTATTATTAGCTGTTTTACCACAGCTTGAATGTAAACTTAAATCTACTGTTGAGCAAGAACGTCATGGCACAGTTTCTCTCTTAGCACGTATGTTTTCTGAAAAAGATTCGAGCCTTGCTAGACATCATAATGTTCTATGGCAAGCATTTCTAAGTAGATTTAATGATATATCTGTGAGTATTAGAATCAAATGTGTTCAATATGCTATGCATTTGCTATTAAATCAACCTGAACTTCGCCAAGACTTGACTGAAGCATTACGCCTAAGAAGTTCAGATAGTGATATGAATGTGCGACATGAAACTGTAATGGCTATTGTATCAACTGCTAAACATGACTTTGAACCTATTGCTGATAATGAAGAATTACTTTTAGTTGTTAAACAGCGAATGTGTGATAAAAAAGTAACTTAAAATATTTAAATATCACATTATAATTATTACTATATTTCAATGATTTAAATTTTATTTCTTAAATTTAGTTTAAGATAAGAAAAGAAGCTACTTCAGGTCTAGCATTTATTTACAAAACATATTTAAATGATCCTGATATACCACAAGCTACCAAAAAGGCTTTTACTTGGATTAAGGATAAAATTTTACATGGATATTATAGAACTTGTGTGGAGGATAAGTCTTTAGTAGAAAGACTTGTTAATACATCTCTCGTACCATATCAACTTTCTCCTGATGAAAGAATGAAAAGACTTTATCATTTATATGGAACTATTGATGATTATGCTAAAAAAGCTTTCATGGAAATTCAAAAAACTCAGCTTTTGTAAATTTTTTTTAATATCAATTTCATTCTTATCACTGACAAATCAATGAATTTTTTAGAATTCGTACTCATTTGAAAGATTTTATTGATACACATAAAAAAGATGATGGACCACAGAAAGAAAAAGATATTCAAGCTAGTATTAAGCTATTAACACGATACCTACCTGAATCTGTTAAAGCTGCTGAATTCATTAGTAAATTTTCTCAACATTTGATTAAAGATGTAAAACTTCTAAATTGTAAGTTGATAACAGTTACATAATTATTAATTTTTTATTTTATTAGTTATATACAATAGTACTTTGGAGGTTATGCTATACATACCCATTTACTATTTGTTAAGAATTATAATCTTTAAACATTTTCTCATATAACTTTATACTCAATAATTATTTTATAATAACGCTATTGAATACATATACAATAGTATAATTATATTTTATAATTAAATTTTTATTAATTACAAATAAAAGAGTCACATTAGAAATTCTATAAAAATTATTTATATTGTTAAATTTCTTAGATATGGAAACAATTGCTAAACAGAATTCAAGTACAGTTGAAATATCAGAAGCAACTAATCTAGTATTAAGAAAACTTGGTCAACCTGTCATGACCAATCTTTATTACAATACAGTGAAAGCTTTATTAGAACGTGCATCATCAGTTATGATTGATTCTCAGGCATTGAAAGTTAGTAGAGTTGGTTTTATATTTTTAAAATAATAGCAACAGTATGATTTTATTATAGATAAATCATGATATTTATAGAAATATTAAACATTAGTCTTGATAGTTTTATAATTATAACTCAATCATTTATATAGTTGTTTAAGGAACTTTCAAATATTTTATTAAATACTTAAAAGGCCAAATAACATATATCTAAATTCTGAAATATTTTAGAAATTCAGCAATTTGGATAAAAAAAAAATAGTTGATGTAAATATTTTTAAAAAAAATATTGTACATTTAAATCTTTTAAATTACAAAATACATAATGATAAATTCATAAAGTTTTTAACAGTTAAAAATTAAAATTGCATCATTAAATAATTGACATTTTCCACAGTGTGGTCCATTATACTAATATATCAAAAATTGATGTCTTAAGTATTAAAAATTTAATTATATAAATATTAACTTTTCAAAAAATCACAAACATAAATAAAATAAATAATTATTAAAAAAACATAATATATTGTATATAGAATATCTTAATAATTTAAAAAAAATAAAATGTGAGTGTATATGTTAAATGGCTAGTTATTGTTATCACAAGTATTATTATCATTTGAATTGTGTAAATAAATGTAAAATGGATTGTTATTGTAAGCTATTTATATTTGTTGACCAAATCCAAAATCACATATTAAAAACCAAATATAACTATTACATATGACATTGAAAAAGTTGTAACAATAATAAACACAATATAAAACATATTCCGATCTTGGTAAAGTATAGTAGCTACCTTTTATTTTTAGTACTTGAGAACTAATAAACTTATATCATAATCAATTATTTTTTATATTTGGCATTTAATTGTGTTAATTGAACACTATGTATATTTATTAAATAAAAAAAAATTTAATTTAATTTAGGCATTGTTTAATCATGTGGAAAATTGTCTGAGTGGTGGAAACATGATTGAAGAGCTTGGTTTACATCCTGGAACAGCTGGATATAGAGGATTAGAATTGCTTAACGTAAATTATTTTATTATTAATTATAAAACTCATTAATATGATTGTTGCTTTTGAAATTTATATTTTATTTCTAAATTTACAAATCGCTACCTTAACAATTACAACATATATCTGCAATGTTTTTGATTTCTGAAAAATATTAAAATGGTTAAAATCTCCTTCAATTATTTATTNGACACAAAACAAAAACACATCATAGTAAAATTAATACCTTCTCAGCTTCACACCAGAGCTAATAAATAGACATTATTTAGCTGAAAATGTATTTGTTTTTTTTCTTTTTTTTTTGTGTGTCTGTTACCACTTTTTCTCAGCTCTCACCGAACGGATTTCTTTCAACAATATGTCAAAAGATCACAAATCGTATCTAGTCGAAGACATTACCCTCAAAAATTGAAAAAATTTCCCTCGTTCCCCGTAAATGCCACATCACCACTGTACTGAGACCCCCCTGTGCTGGGTTTTTTTTTAATATTATATTGACTATTAATCTTATTAATTTAAAAATAGTGATTTTATACCCATCACAATTGTATGTGCAACAATTATGTTTTTTTTTCCTATTAAATTGTACTTAAAAGTTACATATTACTACTATTTAAAAGGAGGTAGTTATAACATGTAAGTATACGTCTTTTAAAATTTGTATGTACTTTGTGTACCTTATTTGTTAATCTTCAGGATTTTTTTTGTGTTTAAAATAATTATTTTTTAATATATGATATTTCATTATAGGTATTATCAAACACATTCGCTTGCCATTTTTATCATCCAGATATTTTAGACAAGCTTTTAAATTTGTTGCATAATGATGACGAGTATATTGCGCCTCAAGTTCTTACCATGCTTACCACTATTGGGAAGTATAGTGCATTAGGTAAGACTATATAATTATAAAATGCCAAACATTAAGTAATTATGTAATACAACAAATAGGAGATTCATATCCAGAATTTACTGAAAAACTTATACCAGTTTGCAAAACGCTAGCAACTAATGGTACACCCAAGCAAGCCAAAGGTGCTATCAGATGTTTGTATGTCAATGTGTATAAATCAAATAATGATATATTTGATGATGTCATTGAGGTAAGTTTTAAACAATTTTAATTACATTTATTATAAAACTTTTAATTTAAATTAATTGTATTATGAGTGTGTGTTAATTTATATTTAGTTTATCTTGAATTTTAAACAATTCAATGATTGAGTTTTTTTATTTAGTTTTGTTATAAGTTAACTTATTTTATCGTAAATTTAACAATTACGTTTTAATGAAAACCTTGTTTAAACATCTAAATACACTTTTTCATGATTCTAAAAAAAATTATATATTTCTACTTATTTGCATAGCAACATAGGTTTAAAAAGTTACAATAGGGTAACTATATTTCTTCACACATCAATATATTTTGGTTTTGGCAATATCAGTATTATTCAATAAATACAAATTTTTTAATACTTGGGGAGAAGTAAAGGTCTACTTATTTATTTTTAACTTAAAAGTGCTAATTACCTATATATTTTATTTTTGTTGTTTAAAAATTGCACCTAAAAATAATAAATAAAAAACAATTTTTTGAAAGTTTTTGTATGAGATGACAGTATAATATATTACTATACCTAGTGATCTAAATTTTTAATAATTCACAATAAATTTATTTTTAATTATGATAATTTTATTATTATAATATTTATATACTGATCCATTCAATTTCGATATTGAGATCAAATTATTGCCCTGTTATCAATATTCTATTGAACCATCAATATTTTTATCCTCTATTAGTTTCATTTTGTTGTTTACATTAATAAAAAGGTTTTAGTCAAATTTAAACACATATTTATTAATAAGGGAATACATTTTTAATTTAAAACTATAATATCTTTAAATTTTTCTAGTAAAAGATAATATAAATAATTTTGTTTAGAAGTTCAAGTATTTTTAATAAAATCTTTGAATTATAATTTCTAAAATATGTTTTTTTAATTAAAATGTTTTCATTCATCAATCATTTTTTTTATTTTCTAGAAAACTAAATTAAATTTAGAACCTGATTCAGAATATTATGAAACTGCTATTGTTGCTCTTGGACATCTTGCTATTAATGTTGCTGATAAATATAGTGTACATTTCAAAAATTTGATATCTCGTAAGGTAAATTATTAATAATTATTATATTAATGAAAATAAGAAATAACAATTTTATTACATGTTAAATTATTAATGTATTTTTAAATTTTAGATTGTGAAGGAATTATTAGTTAAAGTATCTACGAAAAGTGATGTTTACAATGTAGATGCAGATTGGTGTTCTGAAGAAATGTTACCAAAAGGAACAAAATGCAGGGTATATTTTATTTTAGTTTATTATAATTAATTTTGTAATATTGAAAGTAATATATCCAATTATTAATAAAATTATAGGCAGAAGGTATGAAAGCAATGGCTAGATGGTTAATTGGTTTAAAAAGTGATAAAGTATCTGCTCAAAAAACATTCAGAATGTTTAATGCCTTTCTATCACAAAAAGGTGATTTAACTCAGTCAGGAATTTTAAGTAAATCTGAATTAGCTTGGTTGCGACTGCAAGCTGGTTGCTCCATGTTGAAAATATGTGAACAAAAAGGTGTTGGTGATCAATACACGGCTGAACAGTTCTTTTTATTGTCAAGACTAATGATGGTATAGTTAAATACATTATTATACTATACTTGGTTTTCATATTTTTTTCTCATCTTTATTGTTGATAGAAATTTGAATGTTTATTATAAAAAATAATAATGTTTAAATCAAATAATTAAATCTTTTAATAACTTACTAGGATGAAGTAATTCAAGTTCGAGAAATTTTTGCAGCCAAATTACATAAAGGCTTAGGTCGTGGTTTACCTTTTAAATGTCTTCCACTTGATTTTATGGGGATGTATGCTTTGGCTGGATTGGAAACTGATGAAAGACTTAGAAGTAAAATTTATGATTATGTTTTGAAAGATATTAATAGAAGAAGAGAGTATGCTAGAAATTTAACCCAAGGATCAACAACATGTTAGTATTTTAATAGCGTGTCATATAATTTTATATAAGTAATAAGTCTTTATTTAACAATAAACTTTATTTTTTTTAGGTTCTATTGATAAAGCTATGGCACAACTACCTCATATATTACCAGACTATATGTTACTATTTGCAATATCTATTTTAACTCATTCGCCGGTGTATAAAGATAATAAAGATGAAGAGAGTTTAACTTTGATGCAACAGTGTTTGTGGTTTATATTAGAACCATTAATTACAAAAAATGATTCATATAATTTTGGATTTTATAAGGAAATGTTGGAAAGAGTGAAAAATTATGTTGACGCTGTTGAACCATCTAATGAAATTATTAATTCGGTAAATTAAATTAAAAAAATTCAAGATAATACTTAAATATATTTATATATTTAATGCTTCAGTAAAATTTATAAAAGTTATTTTAAAAAAACGTGGAAGTTGGTAATATAGTCTTAGTTTCTTGAATTGTATAACTTTTCTTGTACATGATAAAATTAAATTATTAATTGTTTAATGGCTATGTGTAAAATGTATATATATATATATATATATATATATATGGTGTGGCCGAGTTGATAATGTGGCAGTGCTTGACATGCCTTGCCTCAGGTTTGAAACTCTGTCATGCGCGGATTCATTTGCTGAACAAAAGATCAATTCAGTAATTGGAGTCACCATCCCTCTCTCCGACGACGAACTTTCCACCTGTCCCAGAGTATCAATGGTTAAGAAATTTCCCCCTTGGGGGAAGCCACTACGGCCCTTAATGGGCTTATAAAACAATAAAAAAAAAATATATATATATATTTTTATTTATGAATATCAATTATTAATAACTAATAGTGGTCTTCATTATCAGTATTGTACAAATCTCACAATATTTTATTGCAATATTTTGATATATTGTAATATCGATTTATCAATTAATATATTTATTCAGTTTATGTATTTATCAAATTAATTTTATTATAAATGAAAACATATGTTTTAAAATATATACTTTTATACTATGGAAGGAGTAGTATGGTTTATATATGCACAAAGATATAAATAAACAGACTTTTACTCCTCATACTTAAGTATAAAAGTGCTAATATCATTTAAAATACTGATTCAAAAGATGTTTTCAATCATATATTTTTTAAGTTAGATCACTTTATTATTTTTAAGTTTACAAAACTTAAATTGATACTACTTTGAAGAGGAGAAAACTAATTAAATTTTTAACTATAGAACATAAGATACTATTAACTTCTGAAAAGAAAAAAAATTTTAGTTTTTAAGGATTTGTATGATGCATACTTTATAATTCGCAAAGTATTAATTAAATAATAGTTATTTTAAACAGTGTGTAGAAATTAATATTTATCATTATTTTATGTAGAAAATGTGGGCACTTTGTGATTTAGCCATGAGTGTATTAGTTGTGCACACAAGTACATTTGAAACTTCACCGTTCTCTGAAATTAGAATATCAGCAATGTTTTTCAAACGTCATGATGATCCCATGTTTGTAAATGTCAAAGTATATTTACCTGAGAAATTTCAAATAAAAGTAAGTATTAAAAATATATTATTTTTAAGACAAAATTAATTGGTAAAATAGAAACTCAATCGACAATCACTGTATTTCTGTCACCTCGAAAGAGGTGACAGATAAGGTGAGCATAGTCTATTATGCTTATGTTTATTATATATAGCAAAATTTCTGTTAACTGATATTCAGTACTTACAATAACACTTAAACAAGTTTTACAATAAATATGTTGATATTTGCACTATTAGTGTAGTGAAGGCTTGGAGAAGCACAGATCTTTTATTACCCAGTACAGTGGGGACGTGGCATAGTTGGGTTCAGTATATATGATATCTGACAGTGATTAAAATCACTATCATAAAAAACCCTGAAATTTTTTTTTCCATAATGTATATTATTACATTAGCTTTAATTTAAGGTATATATAAAAGTGTCAGTATTTCCGGATCACTTTCATAAGTTAAGTTGAAAAAGTCATCATTTTAAATCTCCCCTTGTGGGCAGGTAAAGGGTCAAATTTATAAACAAAATATACAAAATAACAGGTAAATACCTCATGTATCTATAAAAAAAAATTATATTGATTTGGTCATTTTTAAAAAAGTTATGGTAGTTTTAAGTAAAAAAAATTTTAAAAAATTGTCGAAAATCAATTTTTAAATTTGTAATATTTTTTGGAAATTTCTGTCATTTACGGGGAATGCGGGAAATGTCTTTGACTAGGTACGATTTGTGATCTTTTGACGTATTGTTTAAAAAAATCTGTTTGGTGAGAGCTAAGAAAAAGTGGTAACAGACACAAAACAAAAACACATCATAGTAAAATTAATACCTTCTCAGCTTCACACCAGAGCTAATAAATAGACATTATTTAGCTGAAAATGTATAAAAATAACGTTTTGCATGGTAAAACTGATTTTGAAAGTACTACTAGAGAAAATAAATGGGCTTTACATCTAATGTTATTCATTAAATGCATAACATAGTACTATGATTATTATTAGTTAATTTTATTGCGATAACAAAAATAAATAAGTAATATAGAGAATGTACTTCTTTAAAAAAAACTAAATATGCACAACTTAAGCACACTTATTAAATAAAATAAAATTTTGTAAAAAAAAATGAATGAAATTTGTCAAAAATATTTAAAAGCTATAAAATATGTCAAACATACCTTAAAAAGAAAAACCTAAACATGAAACAACATCTGTGTATCTATTGCCACTTTTACTCAGCATTTACTGGGCCTATTTTTTTTCAATTTTAAGTCAAAAGTTCACAAACTGTATCTCCTTGAAGGTAGTACCCTCAAAAATTTCTTTGTTCCTTATAAATGGGGAAAATCCCCTGGAAAATTACAATTTTTTAACTTACTTTGAACAGTCTTAACTTTTTTTAAAATAAATGAATTTAAATAATTCTTTTTGTAAATACCTTAGGTATTTTCCTTTCATTATATTATATTTGGTGTATTGTTTATTGGAAGTTTGCCAAATGATATTTACCTGCCCACAGGGGAATTATAATAGCAACTTTTGCATAAAAGTTAACCTTTCTAACTTATAATTCGAAAATGTTAACGAAATACTCTGAACTTTATTATATTTTCTTTATTGCAAGAAATACAAAGAGAGGTACCATGGTGCATATTGTTTACTGATGATATAGTCTTAATAAGAGACAATAAGGAGGAATTTAATCAAAAGCTGGAAGTATAGAGTAGAGCTGTTGAAAAAAAGGGATTAAGAAACAGTATGAATGAAACAGATTTATAGAGTACGAGTTTGACAAAGAATACGAGGTAGGTGAAATGAGGAGATCAGTGATTATAAGTAAGGTAAAAAGTAAATATTTAGGATCAGTTGTGCAAAAGAACAGTAGTATTATTATGATAAGGGTGGCTGACCCCAAATTGTTTGTTGGTATAAGGGTGAGGAAATAGAAGATAGAAGAAGATATTTTCTTTATTGCATATTTAATATTCACATGATAAATATACTTTAATTATATATATATATATATTATTTTTAGCAAGTAAATAATAATGGTAAAAAAACTGGAATATCAGCTGCATTAAGAACTACTAAAACACGTGCCCAAAAACAAAATACCCAAAGCAATCGATCTAATGATTCAAAACTGGTAATTTCTTTAAATAATACATTTTTTCAAATTTCAAAAAATTTCTTTATTTAATAACAAATTTGTGTAAAGAAAAGATTTTTTTGGTAACTAGGAAATATGACTAATGATGACTCTACCATCCTTGCGAGATTATCCTTTTTATATGAAAGGAAATGACTTGTATTTAGGGACCTCTTAATTAGTCTGTGACTTTAGGAGGTCTGAAGTCAATAAAATCCTAGTTAATTAAAGTTTATATTATGATATTTACAGCTTAACATTATTGAAATGTAGAGATATATTTTTATGTTTTTATCTATTTTTAATATTTTGAGTAAGAAAAACCAAATTACATCAATTAGATATTAGCTAAATGATAATAGAATTCAAATTAATTTTTTGTTTTTTTAGCTCTAGTTTTATCATTAAATAAAGTAAAATAATATATGAATTTTTATTTTTCAGAATAATGATACAACCATGTTAGATATATGTGTAGAAGTAAGTTAATTGTCCTATCATATATGTATTTTATTTATTAAATAATTTTTATAGAGAGAAGATGAAGATGAAAATGTTGTAGAACCAAAGAGAAGGCGAACCACACGTAACAACAATTTTGGGTAATTATACATCAATTTTATTTTATTAAAGTGTCAATTTTTATTATCAGAACTAATATCTTAATGTATCTGAATGTTTTTTTTTTTCTAAAAAAAAAGATGAGTGCTTAAGGAAATACCAATATGTTTAATAATTATATTAATAAAAAAAATATGAAATTTAATTGTGCATATTTTAAAGCTATAAGCATATATTCTATAATTTCAGAAAAATTGTTTCCAGAGTATTAATTTTAAAAAATTGTAGAAAAAATCATTGAATTATTTTTTAATCTTGATATTCTGTTTACTTTTGTTTATTTTTTAATTACCATTGTATATTTTACACTGGGCTATTTTTTATATTTCAGTTAAAATTTTAGAGGTGTCCTTGACTAACATGCAGATGAACAAGTGTTTAAAAAATTGCATGATACAAAATACTGTAGTTTAAATTGTTTTATACTAAAACTTAAACACTGTTAATAATTATTTATTTTGTTAATATTTTATTTTTAAAACTTTGAATCCTCAAAATCATTTATAGTGTAAGAATTTATTTTTAATGACTTTACAATATTGTACTCAATATTTTATATATTATATAAATTTCACTATATTTTTTGGTAAATATTTTTTTTAATATTGGTTACGACCATAAGCACCATAGGGTGCTTGACCAGATGAATAAGTCTTTTCTAATTTGTCAGAAATTAATACTAAAATCTAAAAAATATTTATTATACACAATATATAAAAATATTTTAATTAATAAAACGAGTTTAAAAAAAAATACTTTAAAATCCTTCAAACTTTTTATATTCATAAACTTAATTACCATTATTTAAGACTCATNTATTAAAAAAAAAAAAAAATGAAGTGTAAATAATATTTTATAATAATGGAATATTGATGTCAATTTATTTAGGAAGGTGATTTATTTTCTTTAAATTTGGTAAATTACTTATTTTTTCTTTAATTTTTAGTTTTTTTAATAAATTATTTTTACCATAAATATTTGCATTGAATAAGCAAAAACTAAGGTTATATCTTTAAAATATAACATAAAATTATTAAAACTATTTTATTTTATTGGTAACAAATGATAATTATTATATTAATTATATATATATATATATAACTAAACTACTTATTGGTACAATTATAAATCACTAGAATCGTCATATAAAAATGGACTATCTAATACTCCATAACCAGCATTGACACCGCCTTCATTACATGATTTAGATTTTGTTCGCATCATATGTCCAACTTGTTCATTCAACAAGATATTATCGCCGTCACTGAAGTAATCATAAATTAAATTTATTATAACTTCTTAAATTAAAAATATCAACAGGAGTTTTCTTACCATAAAATAATACCAAATATACCTAGCTCTGATACTACGTCACACGGAGTTAAATTAGTTTTAGATTCTACTTCGTGTCTTATTAAATAGTTTTGTTGTACTGGAGGACAAATTTTCTCCATTAATATCCAGGCCGATCGCTCTTTAGAATTAATACAACTCATAAGTTTCTAAATATATTGAATAGTTACTTTTTTTTAACATTAAATGGTATTATACATGTAAAGTCTATTATTAATATAAATCAAATCGCGCTAAACGCGAAAAACTTGTTAAGCTTAAATGTAACAAAAAATTAGTTTCGGTTCTTAGTATATTTACAAGAGCATGTTAAATATGTAAAATAGTTAAATTTAATTTCCCCATTAAATTTATATATTCATACAGTATAATTTTCCTAATGTTTTTAAGTACAGGAACGACAGAAGTTGAAGGTATATCTTTTAATTCATCTACATTGCGTCTTTTTATATCAGTGATTTTGATGAAAGTTTTTTAGTTATTAATTTAAAATGTTACTATTATAATGATGTTTATAATAAAAAAAAGTCCACCACCAATCTTAAAATAGATTATTATGAAAACAATTCATTAATCATTGTGTTTGATTTGAAATCTATCACTAAAAACTATTTACTTCTTTTATTTCATCATTGTACAAATTATTTCCACCACCTTCTCGTTGTGGTTTCAACACAAAATTTTCGGGATTATCCAAAGCCATCTTAACAGCATTATCGCCATTTTGATCCTAAACAAAATATTTAACAGTTAATTAAGAACCTTAATAGTCCTAAATAATATTTATAATAAAATTAATCAGACGCATATCCAAAAGATATTTTTGGAGGGATACTTTACTACTTTTGATAGCATAAACATATATTCCTAGAAAAAAAACCAGCATAGTGGGGACGTGGCATAGTTGGGTCAAGTATAATGAGATATCTGGCAGTAATTAAAATCACTATCATAAGTGTTTAGTGTTTAGTTTTAAAAAATTGATGGGTTATTTCAAAAGCAACATGATCTACTATTTCCTTATTTATATCCTGATTACAAGTTTTATGATTTACAAGTGCATTATATGAATAATATAATAATACATAAATAGCATTATAAAGATAAAAATATAAAAAGAATTTTTTTTACAAAAATCGTATTCTTTGTATTAACTTTGATGTACGTTTTCACCACGAAAACAAAATAAAGTCAGAAAATGTTTTTTTTCATATTAAAGTATATTACATATACTTTAATTTAATATATAAATAAAATTGACAGTATTTCCGGAACACATTAAAAAATTTAATTGAAAAGTTCTTATTCTATGTGCATATTTAAGTTTTGAACCCCCTCTCCCACCATATAAAGGGTAATGGTCCGATTTACAAAAAAAAGTATGTCGCATAAAAGAAGAATCTAAATGTTATTTCTCATAGAAAAATTGTACTACCATTTTATATTTTTAAAAAAGTTATAGCATTTTAAAGTTAAAAGTGCAAAATATAAAATCAAGAATTTTATCACAAAAATAACATAGAACTAGGATTATTATTATTTAATTTTGTTGCGATAACAAAAAAAAAACGCATCATAGTAAAATTAATACCTTCTCAGCTTCGCATCGAAGCTGAGTCATTAATAATACTAACTAGATTTAGATAATGGTGATTTTTTTTTTGAGAGAGAGATTGCTTTTATCCGATCCTGTTTATTATTACTTACTTTAATAACTAAATCTTTAATTCTAGGCGTTTATTAAGAAATAGTGGCGTAATTAAGGTACCGTCTTAGGGGGATATACATAAGAAAACTTTTCACTTTCCCTGTCAGGAAAAAAAAAATTATCTTCGCCATATAATTATTTTTCTCAGAAGTGATGACATGACATCCATCTCTAATGATTACATCAGTGTTAAGAAAATATAGAATAATTTCGTATAAGTAATAAAACGTATGCTATTAGTAAAAGGAATTATCCCGTACTAAGCTTATGTCACATTAGAGCTCTACGTGTTTGAATTTTCAAGGACCAAACCAAATCATTCTGAAAAATTAAAAAGAACACTGGATGGAACCATATAAAAATATTAAACGGAGCGAACCAAACCGAACTTCTAAAATAAAATATTAGACCAGACCGAACTGAATAGGAGGACTATTAAAAAATTTTGTCCAAACAGAAAAAAAATAGTGCTACTTTTTTTTTTCTATGGTGTGGTATATGCTCATATACCACACCAAACAAAAACAATAATTAATTTGGGATTGAATAGGACCTTTACAAAAAACGAAAATTAACTTGCCTAGATAATTGAACACACTGAAACTTTACATATTAAAAAACTTTTGACTTAATACATTTAAACACATTTTTTTTAGTATCTAAATACTTAAATTTAAATTAAAAATTTGTGCTAAAATGTTTCGCCAATGGTGTTAGTAAATAATGATTAATTGGTAACTACTATTATATATTTGAATAAACATTTACTTAATAGGACCTAGGTGATATTTTCGGTTCAATAAGTTTTTATCGGAATATTATTTTCACTGATAAAATTTTCTGAGATGTATTTAATTTTATTAAAAAGCCAAAATAAACATATAAATATGAAATTGTACAAGAAAAAATAGTTCTTTTTCCCCCTGAAGAGTTAAGAATTTGTACCTATTTTTATTCTTTAAATAATTAAAATATTATTTTATTAAAACCAAGTACTAATAGTAACTAATAGCATGGTTGTTACGTTATTTTATGTTTAAAACACTAACAATTTAAAAATTCTTGTTAGTCTTATAATTTTTTTTGTAAACATTATTTACTAATGTTTTAAAAGAAAGAAATTATAAATGTAATTACATTACATGAGAAAGGTTATTAACAAAAAACTTTTAAAGGTTAAATATTTGACTTATGAGTCAAATATTTTCTCCTTATAAATCAAAAGTTCCATAAATATTTTGTTTACCGGTAAATTTTCATGTAAAAGTTGAAATTTAATTTTTTATAAGTTTTGTAGAGAAAAAAATTATTTTACGTGTTTTCTGACCAAGTAATAAAGAAAACTTATAAATAATAATAATTTTTCTATGATAATTAAAAATATTCACGAGTTTTTTTTTTAAAAATTCGAATAAAATAAGTAAACAAATAATAAAATGCTAAAAAAATATTTAAAAAATGATCTTAATGCCCATAAAAAATTATAAAATTAAATAATATTAAAAACAATTCTTGTAGTATACCAATATAAAAAAAATGTTATTTTTGATTGGGTTATTTATTGTTATCCATCAATGCATGTTTATAACAATCTCCATATTCTGACTTATTATCATTGACGACTCGTAGAAAAAAACTATTATTGTTCTCATCATGAATTAATATTTCAATGTAAAAGAAAATTAAATTTCAAACAACTTTAATATGAAAATATGTTTTATAACTTAAAAGGTTCATCGTATATATTTAATTGCGAAATATAATAATTTTACCGGTAAACATAATATTTATGGAACTTTTGACTTTTAATTCAAAAATTTACCCTTTAAAATTATTTTGCTAGCAACCTTTTCTATGTAAAGTAATTATACGTAGAATTTCTTTCTTATAAACCTTTACGTAAAATTCATAAATTTTCAGATAAAGCACAATAACTAAAAACTATCCTTTAGTTTGAATTTTAAACCTCTCTTGCGGCACGTGTTAACGTCATCGGGACCAAATTTTGCACAGCTTATTTTTACATGTAGTAGAACAATTTTTTGGTACAATCGAATTTTAAATCGAATTTTGAAAATTTGTTTTTTAAGGACTACAGTATTGTTTACTAACATAAGGGTAATTTTTTAAAAACACTATATAATTTTTAGAAATAATATTTTATTTAACTACTTACTAAATCAAGGGAAAATAAACCAGTAAAAATATGTCTAATTTCAACCACTTCATTGGGGTCATTAATGAAGCGTTCAAGTACTCCAGTTTTTGCCAATTCTTGTTGGACCTTAGTTTAACAGAATTCAGGATATTAAAATAATTTATACAACTATTTTACTATAATTAAATTTACATGATCAAAATAATAAACAACTTAACTCTCACTTTAAACTCTGATTAACTGTATTTTATGAAATTTATAAGATACAATTAATCACCCTATTTAAGACATCCAATTAATACGATATCTTCGAGAGTTATGCCAAGTGATGTAAGTAAATTTTTGGGAAAAACTAATTTGACTAATTTTTCTAAATATGCATACGTGAGATCTTACTTTTTTAGTTCCGGCTAAATGATATTGAATGTCAGGACATTTTATTGCTGTAGACCGTTCAATTAACAAACGAGCTAACCATTCAATTTCTCCGTGATAATGTTCAGGAGAATAACCCGATCTATAATATACTACAGCAACCCTTTTTGATTGTCTAAAATGTATATATTTTGTAAGAAAAACATATGTTATGGTTTTCTTCTATAAATATACAGAGTGTTCAGTAAGTCAGGAAACGGGTATCTATTGTTCTCATTGTTACAAACAATTCCGTTTCCTGACTTACTGAACACCCTGTATAGTTATACACTAAAAATTAAGTAATTATTCATATAAAACTAATAATAAAATCAAATATTGGCACCTATAACTTATAAGATTTTTTTTTATTCATTTATCAAAAGAAAACATAATTTCTTGTATAATGTATTTCAGTTTTTTTTTTAAATTGCCAAATATTAATTATAGAAACACTTAAAAATAGCTAGAATTTTAATTTAAAAACTTTATTTTGAAAAGGTAACTTTTTTTTAATTAACTAATTTGTTTAATTAGGTGATTAATTTTTCAATTTTACACTAAAAACTTTAAAAATGTTATTTTATAAAAAATACATTTTTAGATTTATGAAAAAAATAGACATTTAAAATGTGTTACATTATAATATCAAAATAATTAAAACAGTGTAATAGTGTTTTTAAAATAAACTTGGTTAAATGATAAATATTTTAAAATCGCATAATTTTTTTAGACGCTAAAATAAAATTCCTTGGAAAATTTACCTTGTACTTATACTCGATTTAACTTTAAATCAGTACTGGATTTAGACCTATATGGACCCTGAGGTAGTACTTAGAGATGCGCCCTATGGAAAATAAGCTTAAGCTTGTGGGCTCCGGAGCATTCGCTCCCTTACCCCTTCCCTTAATCCGCGCCTGACTTTGACACGGATACATAATAATTTACAGAACAAAATACTAATATAAAAGTTATTTACATCACAAGATCCTTGGAATGTGTTAGTTTCGCTTCATTTGCTACTTGCGTTAATGTTTTTCGAATAACGCACAATTCAGGTTTTTGAAGAGCTAATTCAAACTCATGAAAACGTTGATCGCAGATATTAACAGATTGGTCTTCAACTACAATTAATACTATGGAGCTAAACAAAACATTTATATTTAAATAAAAGGTTTAATATTTTACTTTATCTGGTCCATAATTATGAGAAATAAGAGCAGTAGAGTGCTTAGATTTTTAATGGGAATATGGTATATTTAAAAAAGTGCTTACTATTTTTTTAAAAAAATGAACAATTATGAGTATATTAATTTAATATCATTGGAAAGTTTGCTAATTATTCAATTTAATATTAATTACTTTGATATCATAATTAAAATATTAGTACATACTTTTTATCATTGAATAGCTCCCATGCTTTAATAATTGCTAAACAAAGGCCTTGTAAAGCATTATTTTCAGGTAACTAATAAAAATAAAGAATTAATATTTTCTGTTATCGTGTAATATATGATAATTATGTATTAACTGTAATATACACAATACATAATTATTTAATTAATTATAATTAAGAATAATTTAAAAAAGTATTACATTTAAATAAAAATAAACCAAGTTTAAGTTATTGATATTAAAAAATAAATCATAAATTTAGATATATTTTAAAATGTAATAACTCTTCTTCTGATTTAGTATTAACTATACAAAAGACTGTAATTTAAATTTTAACTATGAATCAATCACATCAATTAGTTTGATGATAATTACAAAAAATAATAATTAAGTCATTACAAAGTTGTCCCACGATGTTCAGACAATTTGCCTTATGAAAATTATTGATTTGTCAAAACATCGAGGAACAATTTGTATACAGTTAATTGGTAAATTAAAAATTAGGAAGTATAAATAATTTTAACGTTTACAAAATAGTGTAAATATAATTTATTCTTCCATATTTGTTATTATTAATTAAAACTTATCAATATAAATTTCTAAATCTTACCATTTTTAATTTATCCAAAAAACCCAATTGTTGTAAAACGAATCTGAAAAATATCGTTACTTTAATATTATTATAGTTTTATTTGATATTTTATAAGACCTCTGTCATCAACGTTACTCTTTCAATTATTCAAGTTGGATTTTTATAATTAACATATGGTATAATAATATAATACATACAAATTTTTCAGATGTAAATACTTATATGCTTGAATTTACTAACAAACTTAATCGAGATAAGTGACATTCGAGGTTATTTAACTGTTATACAGTTAATAATACTAAGATGATTGCTTTAGACGTTCTTGGATTTTAAACATAATTATACAAAGAGTACCTGTGAGGTAGAGCTGTGGATGAGATCCCACCAAAACTCGATGCTATGGTATTCATTTCAATTTGTTTTATAGACATAGAATGACCTATGTCCAACATGTAGTCAGATCTCAATAACCCCAAACATCGAGACTGTAAATTTACAAATATGCTTTTCTTCATAATATTATGATATACGAACATAAATCTATTAAGGGCATGCAACACACAACGATTTTACATTATATACAAGCAAACACTTATTTTTTACTTAATATATTTACAATCAATAAATCTACTTGATTGTTTAAATTGTTCATTTATAAGTGAGAATGTATTGTTAACAACGAAGTGGAGAAAACTAAACATTCACTATATATCAGTTTGTTACAGCTTCTGATATTTAATGAGATACAGAGTTAATTTTAAGATTTAATTATTGACTTCTTAATTATTCAAATAAAAAGTTTACAAATTTTTTATCTTCACAAACGTATTATTATTTGAATAGCCGTTATATAACCTGAATTTATGTATAATTAAATTATTATCTGGATGAATTGATATGATCTCTTTCATAAATATATTAAAATTAATTTTATTGAGAAATGAAATTAAGTTTAATTATTGTATAGTTAACTTCTAATATCTTATATCATATTAAATGCATACATGCATGAGTAGCAGTTTTTTTAAAGCAAAATCTAGGCATTATACATTTTTTTTTTTTTTTTGGTGACACTCCATAAATGTTAAGGTTTAAAGCAAGTGTGCATTGAGAAAATAATTTGTTAATGGGTACAGCATAACAGATATGGTGTATTAAAAAATTATGACTGAATACGGAATTTGGCAGTTACACGGTGTGTAATTATTGAATTACACGCTAAAAATGAATTTATCACTTATTAGATAAAAATCTAAATATTGAGGCACTTTATAAATTTACTTCTTGCATTTAAAAAGTAATTGATAAAAAATTACTCAAGTCATTCTCATTTTTATGATAAAATAAGAAAAAGACAGAGGTCTAATTGAATATTAATTACTAAATTTAGTATACACCTAGTATGATTCTATTGTGTTATAGTCTCTTATTTTAGTCTCTTAAGAAACTAGATAATTTATTCCTGACCTGTGTATATTACCGGATAAAATACCAAGCCAACCAAATCCACAAGCAATTGTGTTTAATTCAACTTGTTTGATATTATTACCATTTTCGTCCATTTGATGCATTATGTCTGAGCGTAACAATCCCAAGCTCATGCGCTTAAAAAGTCATCGAAGCTAGAGTACCTATAGTACCCATAGTACTAACTTTTATAGCTTTGAGAAGTAGCATTAATATACATTATAATGTACATAAATGCGTGTTTTAAAGTACAAATTTGTGGATACATAATTTTAAATTTTGGGTATTTAATTAATAAACATAAGAAAATAGCATTTATACATATATAATTTAGTTTTTTCAATGAATAAATTTGTCCAAAAATAAATATAAATACTGATAATATCAAAACAGAAAATAAAAATTGGAATTTTCTGATAGTTATTAAATAAAGATTAGTCGATTTTTAATTAAAAATATAAAAGTAAGTAATTAACACGCAAATTTAGAATTTAAAATCTAAAATATAACATAGGCTTAACTAAAATAGATTTAGAGGGAGCTACATTTTTTTTTTCACTAAAAAAATACTTTTCATACATCAATTATTATCATTTTATAAATGTTTGAGGTGCTAATTTTTTAACTGAGAGGTTTATAATCCCTAGCTCTTGTGACAGTGTAAAGCAGTAAAAGAAGATAAAGCAAAAATAAGTTGTAAAAAAAATGAAATAAAAAAAAAATAAACCAAAATTTAAAGCAAAATTTAAAGCAAAAGCACTAGATTAATTGGCAATAAACAAAAAATAAAAAAGTAAAAAATATAATGAAAAAAGTAATTGATACTTAAATTATGCAAGGAACATCGGAAAAAATTATACAACAAATAATTTAATTAATAATAAACAAAATCCAAGAAAAAAAAAACATATTTAATTTAATTAAACTGCGAATCCAGCCGTCCGATTTATATATATAAAAAAAAATAATTATTAGAGAAATAAAAAAATTATTAGAGAGAATTAATTATAAGAGAAAGTATACAAACTAAGATAGTTTTGAGATTGAGGTTTATTTTAGTCGTATAAATGATAAGTTATAAACAAAATGTGATTTATAAATTTTTTCCTTTATTACATTGATGATAAATTACAGTGCCGTTTAAAGTATTAATGTAATTCACTAAGTGCTTCAATTAGAAATTTTTTTGGGGAAATGGGTTACAATCATCAAATTCCTTTGATTTCATAACCCAAAGTTTTATATTAAAACGTAGAAATCTTAGCTTTAATTAAACTATAGATAAGTACTATTTTCAAAATGAACTGTGATTAATTGCTCAGCCCAGGTTATTAACAGGGCTCGGAAATTAAAGCACTTACTTATATTTTTTGAATAACATAATAAGTAGCAGAGTGCTGTAAATAAGTTTATGGCATGTTACGTAAAATTTGAATGTGCTTTTTTTTCTTATTTTGATGCCTTATTACATATTATGCTTTTTTTATTATTTTATTATTTGATGGTCATGTTATGAAAAGAGAGGAATCGGAAGCTGTAAGAACAGTTTTAGAAATGAATGTTGAAGAAAGAAGAGGTAAAGGAAAACCAAAAAGGAGACAGGAATGTAACTGAATGCGATTTGAGGACGGCTGATATAACCGTAGATGATGTGGGTAATATTGTCAAGTGGAAGTTTAGGATAAGGGTGGCTGACACCAGTAGTTAGGATTAAGGTGAGGAAAACGAAGAAGAAGATTCGATAGTAAAGATGGCAGTGAACTATATGACTTCAGCTATTTCTCCGAAGACTATTCCAGTGACGATATAGTTTACTTAAAATATGCCCCTACCCTATTACATCGGTTATTGTCGAGCGCACAATCTCAGCTAATAAAACTATACTGTCAAACAATAGGCGATCTTTTACATTTGAAAATCTCAGAAAACACTTAATAATTAATTGCAATAATGAAGGTAAGAAACATTTTTAAGTAAATAATTTTTTTGATAAAATAAATTAATTGGTTTTCAGCTATTAATTAAAATATTTTTTGTTCATTTTAAACTCAAGAAAATCAAGAAACACAAATTTAAGCTTTTTTTTATAAAAGATTTTGTTATATTGTTATTAATTAAACTCATTAAATTTAACATAATCCTTTATTTTTTATAGTTTTGGAAAATAGGCACAAATATCTAATATTTATTATAATAAGGGGAAATTTTTTAGATAGCTTTTTCATTTTTTAAGTGCTAATGAAATTTTTGATGATTTTAAGTGCTTCAAGTTCCGAGTCCAGGTTATTAACATAAGCATTAATATTATCATGAAATAAAGCTATACATTTTCAATTATAAAATCATGCGATTAATAAAATCATACTTGAGTGATTCCTTCTTCTCGAACTGTTTCGTACAACGTAAATAATTTGCGTGTGAACTCGTCGACTTCGATTGTTCTAAAGTAAATAAATAGTAAGCTATTAAAAGTAATCGCTTCACCAAGAAGCATGAATAGATATTTATTCATAAATAATACGAAAGAGAAATTCCTTTTTACTTAAAATTATTACTTTTATACATGTCAAATAAATTTTAAAAAAAATTCATAATGTTGCTTCATATTACCATATCTGTGAAATATTATTATACATATCACAAAAAGGGAAGAATTTCATAGATAACCCATAGACTACTAATAATAATCACCCTACAAAATGGAAATATATTACCATTAGATACAATGGAAATAATTCATCAGTAATAATTTAATAGCAAACAAAGGAAATTTTTCTATTAGTAAATTTTTATTATAAAAAATATTATTAGTAATAGTTATTATTATTAATACCATTAGATATATTTATAAAATATTAGTGAATAAATACTTTTTTAAGCATGATTTTAAAAATTCATGATCACGGGAAACTTTATGCATAAGTTCATTAAGTAAAGGTTGTATTTTTACTGCTTTTAGAAATTCATTTTTTGGGAAAACTGAAGGTAACAATGTAAATGGTACTACAGTCAACGAGTCACTGCTGAAATTATTTTTTGATCTTATACCTCCACCTATAAAACAAATAATTAAGCTCTATATAAATTCGAGTTAAAAATTATACATAAAAAATTTTGTGTAAAAATAACCATGCATAAGTGTCCAATCTTTAGTTTTTTTAATGAGATCTTGAAATTCATCTGTAGATAATCCAAAAGGAATTGATATACAAGGATTTAATCGATTCATCATCTAAATACAAATTGAACTGTTTTCAGTACTTGTTATACAAATAACACAAAAAAAATTGTTAGGGAATTTTTATTTAATTATAATAATATGTAGTTAAAATATGTTACTAATAGTTATTAGCTACATATAGAGCCAAGTATAATTTTTATTAATAAACAAGTTTATTTTTATATGGAATTAAACTAGTAATTAATAATTGAGGTGACTGAGTTTCAATATCAAAGTATACTCCACAATTAAATTTTAATTTCATATTTTTCAAAAATAAATGAAAGCATATCAATTGAAACAATTAATAATTTTCGAATTAATTTTAAAATCGTGAACTTTTTTTATACTACCTTTATTTATTATAAAAATTATTACACTGTGTCGTAACACAAAACAGAAACAGTAAGATGTGTAAGAAGAAGATGAGGATGGGTAGCCTGCTGTCTAGGTTTTCACGTGCGTGTTGTTGTACAGCAGTTACCGTGCTCGGCTGACACTCTGGGTTAGCTGTGGGTGTCGAAAGGCTGTTATTATAGGAAGGGAATAAGGGTAACACCTAGGTATGAGGTGTAGACGAAGGGTAAGACACAAATACTTTAGGTATAGGAGAGGATAATGAAGTACGAGGTGCAGACGAAGTGCGAGACAAAAGTACTCTGAAATATTGAGGAAAAGAGTAGATAGGTTAAAAAGGAAAAATCGAAGACTTTACTTTAAGCAGTAAGCCGGACAGCGACAACCGAGTACTGAGACTGATGAATGACACAAGGCACTGGAGTCGACTGACCAAGATGGCCAGGTCTTTTGGGTTTTTATAATAATTTGGACTATTGCCAATTTAATAATAAATGTTAATTGTTAACTCATCAGTCTCGGGAAGCGGATGGGCTGTCTGTATTTTATTATAATAAATTCTCACAATAATGATAATAATAATAATCACAACTGTAAATAATAAAAAAAATTACTAGCACCATTGAATTAGCAATTAAAGAGAAAATTAGGAAGATACATGATATTTAGAGTAAAGATATTTACTTGGAACACGTAATTTTTTTGGTTTAGAGTGAGAAGTGAAAAATATTCTTATGTAACGCTCCTCACTAAACAAGCCCCTAATTATACCATTGCCTGTTATGAAAATGTTATGTATATTAAGGTGCGTCATTTTGGTTTGTTTTTCTACATTTTTTTACCATATAAATAATGTTAAATTGGCCAAATTAAAAATGTCTTAATATATTTTGATACAAAAACATAATTTCATAATTACTTATTAATTGTTTTTAAAGTTTTAAGGCACACCGAAATTATTGTAAACATATAGTATTTTAATTTTAATTAAATTTTATATTTGTACATTGAGTATTAATATATGTCTATGTGTACTTTAGTATATTTGACTTCATAAAATAATAAATACTTTTATCATAATGGACCAAATGTAACATGTTAAAATCTTACAATGGAATGACATCGAGATATTTGATAAACAAAATAAAATCGTAATACATATTTGATTCTAAGTATAGTAATTTAGTTAGTTAGGTAATTGGGTAGTTAATTTATAATTATATTTTAAGGACAGGTGAACTCATAATTATCAGCTTCACTTGAATGAAATGTATGAGTGTACTTAATGTTGTATCTAAAATTTCAAAGCCGGAGTGCGGAAGCAAACATCGGAAGCTTAGTCCTTTTAAAATTGAAACATTACTTCAATTTTATAGTAACTAAACTTATTTTAATTATAAATATGTTTAATCAATGTTTTTATCCATTCTAATTTTAATTTACAATAGAATTGTTAAAAATGTTTTACAATATTTGTAAAATATTTAGCCATATATTTAGCAACATAAATCGTACAGTGGTGATGCTATTGATAAATTGTTTAATACTATTATTGAATTATTAATACATTTTTTGATCTATGTCCATACGGGTTCGTTAAATTACCTCTGTTATGACTTTATTTGACAATAAACGATTGGATAACATCTAGTTATCTAATCTATAAGTAAACAATACGGATTTAAGATATCTAAAATCGGCACCATATTTTATTATGCATTAATATTAATTTACATTAGTATTGAAATATTGTTACATGAGTGATGAGAGTTACAAGAATAAAACCACTGTGTATCACTTTTCTAAAATTTCTTCAAGACCCTTCCCAAAAGTCCACCTACGCCAAGATGTAAATAAAAAATGTTAAACCCTCAAAAATCTAAAATTCTTCAGGCCTGTATAATAATTCTTTATTATTCCAGTTATGATTATTACACTCCCGATAAATCCGGCACACTATGTATTAACTAATTTTACCCCTCCTAAAAAATTGTAATACAGCAATAAGTATAAATTTCTTAACATTTATTATTTTTGGGAGGGACTTTTTTTGATGACATTTTGAATTGATGATGGAACTCTTTTTATTAAATCATAAAATTTGTTTTTAAAGCTTTAATTGCTATTCTAATATTTCATAAAATTAATCGAATATCCAGATATTAATGTGAGCTAATTTACCCATTTAGCGGCAAATGCCCACTCAACCCTAACTTTTAATTTAAAAAAAAGCCACCAAGCATATTTATTTATACTTAAACCTGAACTTGGGATCTAAAAGCCAAAAATAATACATTAAGAAAAAAATTTATAAGACATTGTATTTTTTTTTTAAGCCACATGGTATTCTTAAAAAGTTTTAGGTCCTACTAAAATTTGCCTATATTAATAGATCACCTTCTAATGCTTGTGATTTACTCTTTTTAGATATCAAAGTAAAAAGCTTGAGATATCTAATAAACCTGATAATAGATTCTCAATGAATCTAACAATTCTCCATTGATACTAATAATAATGTTTAGAGAAAATAAATTACTAATTATTTTATATTTTTCATATTTATTTTTAATTGTACACAAGAAGTTTGAACATTTACCAAATGAGAGTTTTTAACTTTGATGTTAAACTGAAAAAGTATTTTTTTTATGATACAAACATTTTTTCAAGTTTATCTATGAAAATTTTCAGTTATTATTGGATCGATTTTAATAATCAATATGTTAAAAAAACCTAATTTTAATGTAGATGAACCAATCAACTCAAACAATTTGAAAATTTTAGAAATTTAAAAAAATATCTCAAAATTACACTACTGTAAAAAATGACATTATCAAAATAATTTTCTGCATTTTAAAACTGAGATTTTAATAAAATATACTAAAGACAATAATATTTTTATAGACTTTTTCTGAAAATCAGATTAGAAACTTAACGACAGGAGAGGTTTTAAAGATGTTCTGGAAGGTCTGATAACTTCTAACTTATATCAAATTAACCCTTTTAAAGTGTACTAAAAAATTAAAAAAGAAAAGTTCCTGACAATTGTTTTACCATGTGAAATAGACAGCCAAAGCAAAATATACCATTATTTTCAATTAAGTAAATTATTTAAGCATTTAATAATTTAAGTAAAATTTGAAATCATAGAAATTTAAATTGTAAATTATGAAATTTAACAGATTCACTGTTTTTCATGGCAGTGATGTAAGTCACTGTCAGATATCATCTATATTTGTACTAACTATGCCTCATTTCCACTTTGCTGTTTTTTTTTTTATTTTAATGAAATAAAATTGTTAGAAAATAGTTTTTATAAATTAATAACTAGTGAATATCATATGAATACATAATTGCACTAATAGATGTAGATGAAAATTAAACCTAATATTAAGAACTTGCTAAGCAATGTATATAAGTAATCAAAGGTTTTATACTATAAATATATTTGTTATCTTTCTTTTATAAGATTTATATTCAGCATGTTGAGATACTTTGATAAGAAAAATAAAACTTATTAAAATTAACGAGTAACTTGCTTCCAAAGAAACATCTAGCTACAATTATTTGCTTTCAAACAATGTATAGAAATTCAAATTAAATAATGATAGTTTTATAATCTATTTTAATGAAATTTTAAAAAAATAGCTCAGCAACATAGCAAGAAAGTTTAATCAATATATGGTTTATATGGTTATTAAAAGGTTATAAGCTGTCAATATACTAGACGTCTAAAAAAAATTTTTTTCAAATTAATATAAAAATGCGACATGACTATTAAACCATATCTATTCTGAAAACTATCTCGTGAATATTAAAACTAACCGAACTGAAGATAAGAACTAAAATAACATTTATTATGAAACTTACCATTAATGTAATTTTCTTAAACGGAATAGTTACAAATCAATAGAACACAGCAAAATTAGGTATATTTATTAATATTTTACAACTAATTATTACGTAATAAGCGCAACTAATTTCTCCTATCTGTCTCTAAAATACACCTACTTAATAGTAGTAATATTATTTGTAGTGTTTATTTGTTTTCATCGAGTTATGATAACATTCTCGAGCATCAAAACAATAATCGAACTTTTCATTTATCTTTAGACTACTTACTATAAATAATTATTATTTATAAATTTCAATAAAAAATAAAATATTTCAACATCATTAATTATTCATGATAATTATAATTTAATATCCTTCTTCAATGCAATATACCATTACACAAATGGATAAGATATCTTATCTGTTCTATGCAGATAACAACAATTATAAAATTACCTTGGAAATCAAGTGCTTTTACCAGTACCATTATCAGAACTATTCATTTCATAATTATCTATGGTACTAACACAGTACATTTTAATTCCATGTGTTTATCACGGTATAGATATTATCTATTTTGTGGTGACATTATCGCTAAAATCTATTGCTGTGCACAATATATAAAACTCCTTGATCGCATCAGCTTTGTTTATATTAAATTCTAATAATTTAAAATTGCATTTCATGTATAATTACAATTTATTATGTCATAATACATTTTTTTTAAAAACAATACAGGTACTTTTACAAAGAATTGATAATTTTAGTATAGGAAAGAATTAGTTTTTATGAATTCAAATAAAAATTACAAATGATAAATAAAAAAATATAAGAACCCATTCATTTTTTCTTAAATGTGTAAACTAATTTTTCATTTACTTATATTATATAAGGCATTAAAAAAAAAAGGATTATTATAGCAGTATTCCTTAATTTATTTAATTGTTTATATTTTGTTTTTAACCAGGGATTGAATCAAATAAAGTATATTAAAACTAAAGAATATAAGTTAATACATATAAACAGTTGTATATTTATTTGTTTAGTATAACATACATAATTGTACAATTTATCTACCAATCTTTCTTCAAAGTAGGTAATGGAGGTTGTTTAACATTTAAAAAACATAATGAGTTATTTTTATTGTAACCAAACCCTGTGAATAAAACAGCGCAAAGACCATACATAGGAATAGCTGCCCAATATTTTTCACACCATCGATTCACCAAATCTAAATTTTTCTTATTTTTCAATTGCATGTGAGCCATACAAAATTTATTAGAAATATCATTCATTGAATTGCACAGAGAATCAAGAACAGCTTTATTACTAGAATGTTCTTGTATAATAAATTGTTTGGTGGACCATAAGCCATCATATGCTTCTATAAACTGTTTTTTGACATGAATTGAACCTAAAAATATTTTAACAAATATTAATCAATTTACTTTTACTAGGTAACTAACTTTCACATTGAATAAGCCATTTGTAAAAAAAGTTAAAATAAGAAATAGTGTACCTTAAATGACTTAATCGTAATGTTTTGTTTAAAATTATTTAATGATTTATTAAATAACACAGATCTTACCTTGAGCAGAACTTTCTGTTATACATTTTAGCAAAACTATGAATTTTTTAAATGATTCTAAATTTTTTAATTGAATAGGTGTGTTAATAAATTCTGCTAATCTTTTTTGTCCTATTAAGTAAGCATCTCCATATGTTAATGCTAAACAAAAATTAATATTATTAATAATGCATACATTATATAAATATATATTTAAACATCATTTTAGATACATTTTTAGAAACTAAACTATAATGTATTTCATAAATTATATCACACTCCACAATCAAGAGAGCTATATATTCAAATTAATGTTGTTTGAGATTTTAGAATAGTTTTAATTTTAATTATTATTAGTATAATTTATTATTCTCTATCTGAATGTCAGCTATTTCTGTAAAAATTGATGTAAATTAAAAAAAAGGCTAAAACAAAAATTATACATCCAATGTAACTTTTATTAAAATTTGTTTATAACAAAATGCTGTTTTTAAATCTAAACCTTTTGCACTGATTGTTTTTGTTATACTAATATTTACTTTGTTATTTTAGCCTTATATACATATCTTTACTATTTACACAATTGAGCTTAAGCTTTGATCAATTTTTATAATTATGACTGTAGATCTTACTGAGTGAAAAAGTTGTATCTAAAAAATCTTGAAAGAGTAGATTGAAGAGTGGATTGTTACATATACAAGGAGGTTTACAATGTTTTGTTAAATCTAATAACTTTTGATCCAGCAAATATTTTGTTGCTTTTTTTTTATTAATTTTTGCAGTTTTGGACTTTTTTAAAGGCACATTTTTTATAATTTGCTTCTAATAATATTAAAATAATATTTTGTTTTTAAATTTCAAGATAGCCATTTTTTTTATAAAAAATTATGATGGATCAATAACAGTTTTAGGATAAGTACTAATTAAGTTACAAGCATTTTAATACTTGAAATGGGTATATTCTGCTTGCAGAATGCATATAGAACTGTTTTAACTGTACCCACCTATGCATTAAAATTCTTATAACTCAATAAGTACTTATCCTTAAGTTGTTATTGATCTATTATAATTTTTTTATAAAAAAATGGCCATTTTGAAACAATTAAAATAATCTTTCTTAGTATCGACAAATAATAAAAAATATACTTTTAACAAATAATTTTTAAAAAATGTGATGCAAAATAGGCACTGCATTAAAAATTAGGTTTGTCAAAACATTGTAAATCATTCTGTATATAACATATTTTAGCATAGAAATTCATGTTGAATAACTACAATTTAATATAAAAATACTAAAACTTTGAACTTATATTTACAGTTTAAAAGTTTTTGTTGTACCAACAACATTGAAGCACGGCTATCTTCAATTGAATCATGTCCATGTCTACCACTACACTGAATATTCATATTTAAAAATGATTTAGCTAAATATTTCAATTTACTCTTAGATCCTTTGTTCCCATTTAAATTAAATATTATACTCGTATCAATAATGTAAGGGTGAAATAACTGAAAAAATTAATATTAGTAAGAACACATTAATTTATAAATACAAATTCATCACAAATACCTTTAATGCATCTAAATCGCAGTTTAGTGATTGTCCGACTAAAATTGCATTAGCTGGAAATAATTTAATTAAATCTTCTTGAACATCTTGTAATGTTGTAGTAATACCATTTAGTTTTGAGGCAGTAATACCAGAATATTGGGTTAAATAGTTAGTAATCTTATTTGGGGGTTTAACCAAAGATTCATATACAACCTAAAAATAAAATAAAATATTACTTTTATAATATTATATACTTACATTAATTAATTTTATTTATTCCTGTTTAGTTATTCACATAATGGAGATAAAATATTAAAGTTTGATATTTAAACCAAAGATCAAACATAAAATTTGATTTTTATAGAGACTACACCTCACAAAATATATTTAAAAACCTATAACTCATTGAAAATCGAATATTGTAAACATTAATGTTTTTATTTCAATTAAATAATTTTAACATAAAAAAAATTGGGGTTATCATTTGAAAATTAAAGAGTTTAGGATCAAAAGGGTGATAGCAGAAAATTAATTTATCTTGTGAATAAGCTCAATAAAGATTTACTATTGTTAAAAAATAAAATAATGATTAGATTTAATATATTTGAAGGTACTTTGTGAGGTGTAGTTAGAGAATAATCCTGTATTTGATAAATTAACAAAAGTTTAAACTAAGCCGCCATTGAAAAACACTAGCGTAATCATGGGGGATATAACATTTATATTATGTCATAAATAATTATATGATAGATACAATTTTTTTTTTGTTTGGAGGTGAAAGTGAAAAATTTTCTTATGTATAACCCCCTCAAGACAAATCCCTAATTATACCTCTAGTAAAAACTATTATATACAGAGTAATCTGTTTATTACAAACCAATTAATCAATTGCTTGCAGAATATAAGTTTTTTTTTATGTTAGAAGTTATATTTTGTAGAAAATTATTAAAAAAACTCTAAACATACATTTAATTTTTCATCAACAACTGATACTCTAGTCAGTTCATTTCTACCTATAGAGGTGTAACACATTTCACAATCTATGGCAAACATCGGGCTATCTTCAGAAACTGGAAGATAATGATTCTGAGTGAAACGAAAACCATCATAAGAATATTGTGACTTATTGGTAGGTAAAGGATAATTATGCATCATTAATTGATTAAGAGATAATAGTAAGCTCAATTTAGAACACACTTCATCATGTTTCTTATTTTTTATTGATTTATTGAGAACTATTTCATTAGATTCACACTCCATTTCTAAAACAAAGTAAAAAAATTTTAAGCCATTATTGATAAGGAAAACTACTTTAAAGTTTAATTTATAAAATATTCTTTAGAATAAAATCTATCTTGATTGATATTAATACCTTTTTTTGTACACCAACTGGAAGGTAATTCAATTTCAAGAGGTGGTAAAAAATTATACTTAGGAAATATAGGAAAATAATTTTTAAAGGTAGAAAAGTCTTCTGGTGTTTCTATGTCTCCACTATCAATTAATAAAATACATGTTTGCACAACATTACATTGCATTTCTAAACTGCACCATCTGTAAGATAAATTTAAAGAATATAGTTTTCATTTCAGTTTCCTGATTGTTGAATCAGATACTACCTTGGCACATATTTTCCAGGCCCATAAACTGAATACAAAAATAATTCATTTAGTTCATTTATTGTTAAAGGACTTTCACTTTTTCCGCTATCATTAATTTGAGACTGCTTACCTCGAGCATTGTTTACTACTCTTGGGTATGACTAAAAAAATATAGACATAGTATTAGTCAAATAACCATTTTAAGTCATATATAAATACCTTTAATATCTTTTTTTTTTCTCGCAAATAATGTTTGAGTTTAATGTAGTCTTCTTGAGTAATTGATTTCTCTTTTTGTAATTTTTTATTAGAACAATTGTGGGACAAATTTTTACATAGATTTTCATCTAGTTTAAGTTTTTTACACACCGACATAATACAAAGAATTCTTTAGTAATAATTTTATTATAGTTAAAGAGTTAAAAGAAACATTTGATTACCCAGTACTAGACATTTGAAAATAAAAATCATAATTAAAGTAAGTCAGCAGAGGTTACTAAATAATTTTAAATAATTAATAGCATGCTTTTACAAATAATTTGATAACATAGAATTTTTTATAACTATAAATCTATGTTCTGTTATCGGTTAACAAAACCATGATTCGGTTATCATATTATCATACGCAAGGTAAAACTGTCTTATCTGTAATATTATCTTAAATCATGAAAGACATCCTTCCACTTATTTTGAGCCATTTTGAACACTATCTAAAAAGTTTATATTAAATTAAAGATTTTATGAACTTAATTAAAAATTACGTTAAAAAAAAAAAAGAGTAATTTAAATAGTTAGCAATTGCTTTAGCATAATTAATTATAGTTTATAAATAAATAAGACTATAAACATAGATTAAATACACATGTATTTAATCTATGCTATAAATTATAATAGTGAATTAATTTTTTTTTTGAACAATTAGGCAAATTTCTTGGCAGGGCCTATTATAAATTTTTTTTTTTTTTTAATTTAAAGGCTTTTTAAAAGATGAAACTTACATAATTTTAAAACAAATCGGCCTTGTTATTTTTTTTTAATTTAAAATTGTGCTAAATAAAAATTATTGTATAAATAGTTCATAACATTTCTATACATTTTAATAACGTATCCGATAATAATTTCTGTTTCACCTCACAAAATGTATTTTTGAAGATATTATCTACATACGTGTGGATTAAAGGAGTAATGGCCACCAGATTTATAGATTTGGTAGCCAATGATTATAACAGATGAGTTAAAAAGAAGGGCTAAATTGATAAAGTTGACGCGCAGGGGTGGATTTAGATGAAAACACTTGCTCTGTGTAAAATTAAAGAAAATTAAATTTCTCATGTGTTAATACATACTTATGAAACTTAATTTATAAATGAATTATTGTTTATTTGAGTGTTAAGTAGTCCACCGGTCTAAGTTTTAGCAAAGCAGGTGTATCTTTAGACAAAACAATTTACCCGGTTTTTTAAATATACATATTTCGGTTTCTACTCAATATAGGATCTTGAAATTTTAAAAATAAATTAAGCTCCAGTAACTTAGGACGCTCTAAAAAAATGAGCCTTTAATGTTAGGTCATTCTTTAACATATCTATCAAAATGTTCACTTTTGTTATTTACTCAATGACTCATTATCAAAATTAAAAAACAATTCCCGTTTAAATAGAACAATGAAATTTGACATAAAGGTATTACTAATATTGTAAGTTAAAGGAAAGCTAGAAATTTCTTAAATTAAAAGTCGCTTTAGGAAGTTTCTAAATGCAACGTTCTATCAATCAAAATTTTTAATTTTGAAAATATTTTTTAATTATAATGTATAATATACTTGTAAAAAATTAAAATATCACTCTTGATACTAAAACAAACATAAAAATAATATCCCCACTAAAACATTACTGTGAAAGTTATACTATTTAAGTAGTAATGCCTTCATTTTGGCAAAGTCTGTTCTTTCTTTAATTTATAAACTCACTTCACACGTACTTCTATGAACAACACTGTCCTTTTATTTGTATCGTGCAACACATTTTGTGTTGAACGTCAGTTTTTGGTTAGTTAACGTTTAAAATAGACTTTGCGGCAATGTCCAATGAAACTCGGGAAAAAACATTTTGTCATCTACATTTTTGCTCCTTATCACTGATGTAATACGTGAGTATTGAGCCAGAGATATGAGTATTAGTATTATTAACCCAACAAAACTGGTATTAGGCCAGTTATGTTTTTTTTATATTTTACTTATTACATTCGTTATAAAAAATTAATAACGTCTTAGATAATTTTTAAAAAAATTCAAGTCGTTTTAATCATTTGAGGCGTTCGAAGAATTCAAAATGGATACATAATTAAAAAAGATAATCAACATATCCCTAATTATAAATTAAATAATGCCATTATGCTAATAAATGGATGTCTTATCACAGAATGAATAAAATTTATTTATAAATCTATTTAATGTACAGAATTATGTAATTAGAAGCTATATGCTAAGATCTACATAGAATATTAGTATTTAAGGGTTTCATTTATTTTTAAACATTTCAATAATTTACATTAACTTTGAGTAGTCTAATTATTTAACAAAGCGTGTTATGGCGGGAATTCCGCTGTGGGATTATTCAATTTGGGTCTACTGTTATCAACCTAATGTTAAAAAACATGTTTTTATCGATTCAAATTACATTAGTCCTTATTAGAAGGTGAGTTAAGTTGTCTTTGAAATTACTCAGCTGTTTTGCATGTTTTTAGTGATGAATGTTGATTGTCAATATAAACTATGAATATTTACCACGGTTATCGACAAATTGTTGTTTTGTTTGTTTTATTCATTTTCATTACAGTCGTTCATTTGTTATTACCTGTAAAGTAGATATCTAGAATTCAAATAAATGGTATTTATTTCCTTATAGTTTTTAAAAGTAGTGATTAAGTACATACACTAAAATTTTATTGTTGACAGCCCTATTTAGTAACTGAATACATAAAATGCATAATTTCTTTTTTTATGCTTTATTGATAGACATGTTATTAGTATCTATCTTCATCTATGATCTCTGATAGGTACTACGTAACGTTTTATCAATTATCACTATATTATTATTATGTATATCTGACAGTTTTTTAAATTTTAAATATTATGTTTGTCATTTATAACTAGCGTTATGTTAATTTTTACATCATGAATGATTAATCGCTTTGCAATTTCTGCCAGAACATTTTATAAGTAAGTTTTTATTCATTAATTAAAAATTATTATCTTATGATGGTACATTTAAAACCATTATTTTTTAACTTATCAGTTTTTAACAAATTTTACTAATTTACTAGTATGGATAACTGTTATTTGTGAGTAGACTCATGTATTTAGTTAATTACTTTGTCTTTTAATTTAGGTATTATAATTCATATATATGAATTGATATTTTTAAGAACACTTCACAATTTTAGTAAACTGTTAAGTCTGTTCCAAAAGAAAATATTTTATAATTTAATAATTAGTTATGTAGAAATTTTATTTTATTAATATCATGAAACCTTTTTATTAACATCATAACAAATTAGTTATTATTTATCATTTTAATTGATAAATATCCTGCTGTCTTAGTATAACTGATAATTTTAAATATTATCAAAAAGTTAAGATAATTATAAAACTATGAAAGTATTGATAAAATTAATATAAATTGTCAAAATCTTAATTTTTGTATTTATGCTTTTACTTGTTAGATATCAGTATATTTTCTTAATTTCTTTCTAAGCTTCATTTGTATTATGGGAGGTACGTAAGGATATTATTTGTACCTATAAATTGAAATTCCTAATTAAAATTAAGAATTTCTACTAAATTAAGCTATTAGTTGAGATTGGAGGCCCAATAAATAATAATTTTACCATAATAGATTTAAGCTAAGTAATTATTTTTAATTTTCTTAATTTTTGAAGCATGTTTTATTTTTTATTTATGTGATGATTTTGTATAAAAGTAAAAATTTGGAGAGATTTGAGATAATTAGTTGAATTCAGTTGATTTTTTTTAAATCTTCCTTTTTATTTTAATCTTTTAATATTTTTTTAATTCATTTTTTTTTTTCAGATTCTAATAAGTATTAAAAAATTAATTTTATCACTAATAAATTAAAACATCTTAGTCCAAAATAGTTTATTTTTTATGTAGACATGACTTTAGACTAAAGCCGGTTAGAAAAATTGGGGTATGGCTTCCTTAAACATCAATATTAAAAATTAAAAAAATATTATGAGCCATAATTTTGACTGTACTTAATCAAAATTATAACTTCTTTTTAAGATTTTTATAACATTATGAGAAATAGAAGTAGAATTGCAAGCCAGTCTGATCAATCGGATGATCAAATATTTACACCAATTGTTCACACTAGGTAAATGATTTTGTATAACCTGTTATACTTCACTAAGTTATTTGTATATGAATAATTTTATTTAGATCCAAATTTTCAACACTAAATCATAATGAAAGTAGCCATAATCACGATGCTGATGACTCACATATTGGTATGAAGTATAATTTAATTAAAAATATATATTTATAAGTATTTTTTAAATTTATATTATGTGTTTGATTTCTTATAGAAGGAACAAGACGCAGTACAAGAAAACGAAAGTTAAGATATGAAAATTATAGTGATACATGGATTGTTGGTTCCCAAGCTCTCAAGGGATATCCTAACATGATGAATGAAGAAGATGGTAATTATTTTTATCATTCTCTCATATATCTATAAAAGAATTCTTTCTCATATCATATTTTGAATTTAATAAAAATTAATTTTTGGGAATGAAAAAAGAAAATTATTAAGAGCTCTAAATATAAATTCACCACTACACAATGGTTCAAAATAAAAAAAAAGAGATGTGATTAAAAATTATACTTTGAATTTTAGAATTTTATATATTTTTTTAAAGGGAATATATAATCTATAAAAAATAAAATTCCTTTGGCACTTTATATATTGATTTAATTTAAAAAAATACCCTTAACCTTATAATGGTTTATATTTAAAAACTACAAATTTGAATTACTAAACTATAAAAAAATAAGTATTTTAGTTTACTTAATTATTTAAAATATTTATTAAATTGAAAAAAAAACTCCGCCCATCTGGTTGTAATATTCATAATATTACAACTACCTTTTTTTAATTTTGGACCACTGTACAAAGGTATAAAATGATTCTTAAAATTAATAATAATTATATAGAATATAAATATATGGTATATAATTATTATTATTTTAAATAAATATTATGTACCTTTATTTTACTGAGCTTTAAAAACAATGTATAATTATGAAATTAAGGCATAATCAAATAAAACATCTCATAATAATTATTGATTTTAATTATGTATGTGTTTATTAAATTAGCTTATAAATTTATTTTACTTATTAACTTTAGTACCAAGAAGAATAACTAGAAATTTAAGGCACAAACAATTAGTTGAAGCAGATGATGATGATGATTTTGATGATGATGTAGACGATAAAGAAGAAGAAACTGTTGAAAAAAATGAAGGTACATCCCATAGTGTTAATTTTAAAGAAGAAGATGTTACAAATGATAATGTAAGTGACCATCGTCCACGAACAAGACGAGCTGTAGCTGAGGCTAGTGATAAGTCAAATGATCAAAGTAATGAAAAATGTGATGATTTATATTCTCGTATAAAACATACACGTAGACGATTAGCTTCTCAAATCCAGAATAAAACTAATAGTAAGTTTAAATTATAAAATACTACACATATGTTAATATATAAAACATTTAAAAAAATGTAAATATAAAAAAGAAACATTTTAAAGCTTCTGCTTTAAAAATCAGGAAAATTTTAATAGGTATTGTTATTTTTTTTTATTTTTAACTAAATTTTGTTTTTGCTCTTTAAAAGAGATTTTTTTGAGACTACTTTATAAATTTTGAAATAAAACAGAAGTGTATAATATGTTTTTCTAAATGGCTATCTACCATTTGTATTCTTAATCCTAAATGCAAGGTTTGATGATGACTAATGTAATATCTTTAAAAATATAAAACATAACATAATTTTTTTTTTTTTAATTAATAATATCTTACTATCTATGTTATCTAAAAATGTATATTGATTTAGTTAGTAAAATAAAACCAAATATATCAAGATAGAGCATAATTTTTCATTGGCTTTTTTTTAATATATTAGATTAAAATAGAAAATACTTTTTTTTATATATATATATATGTATATCTTATGTTCATTCAAAAATAAATTGATAAAAAATTATATTTTTCAAAAAAGTGTTACAATTTATTTGTTACATTAAAATTTGATTTTAGTTCTTTAGTGATGAGTTTAATTAATAAAAGCTTCAAAAAATATATTTGTAAGTAAATATTTTTATGAAAGACTATTTTTTAATTTATTCTATTGAAATATTTAAAAAATATCTAATATTTTTAACATTTAAAGTATTTGATATTGATAATAATTTCTTAACTATTCTTAGCAACTGAACAAAGCAGTGATGAATCAATTATGTCTGAAGATAATTTAAGCAATATTGAAGATTATTTAACTTCAATTAACAAAATAAATGTTGACAAGAAAAGAAGAACTATAAGATTAAGACAATGCAGTATTAGACAGTCTAATCGACCTCGTTATTACCGATATAGCTTAAGAAAAGTGAAACCAACAGTGCAAAGATTTCAAATTCATGCTGAACAAAATATTAGTAAGAATTATTTTTAATATAAATTATTAGTGCCATTGTTAATTATTAATAATACCTAAATCATAATATATTTTCAGTAAGCAAAATATTCAATATATTTATTGAACTAACTTTTACATATCATTTATTTAAACCTAGGTTTAGTTATTATCGAGATGGACATAATGCCCATACACTCAGACCTGTTGGTCCATTGTGCGTAAAACCTAGATTTAAATTTGAATACTTTTTTTTCATTAAGTAATATATAGTAATGCTAATTGTGTTTTGCTTTTAATATTTTGTAATATTTTAAAGTTATACATTTTTTTCATCTAATTTTTTGTGATATTATAACTTAATTTTATTTTTACAATTAATATTTTGATAAAATAATATAGGTTAGTTAATTTTTGATAATAATTTCAATTTTTTATGTTCTTAATTTAATATCATGTTTATCATTAGTTAAGTTTGATAATGAAATTATTTTTATGTTTATTATTATGATGTTCTTAGATTTTACAATATTTTTAGAAAAAAATTTTTTTTTCATTTCTCATTAAAATAAAGAAATTTATTTTTAACATTTAAATTGTCATGTTATAATATTTTTTAGCCTTAATTTAAATATTTAGTATTCAAGTTTATTTAATTTACTTAAGTCAAAATATGTCACAAATAGATCTTAATTTGAATTAGTTTTATTCTTTGTTATAATTATTATTATTATTATTATTTTTTAATTTAGATTGATTCCTCAAACTTCTAAAATCATATTCTATTTTCTATCTTTTCTAACACAAGCTTAGTTTTCAAGAGTGTATATTAATAAATATAATGATATTCTATCCATCTATATATTTTTGTTATATTGTATCAAACAATACTTTCCTTAAACCTAAATAATAATAATAGTTATATATAAAAATGTAAATATTGAGTCTATTGCAAATTCTTGTATCTTTGATACATTTTTAAAGATTTATTTTCTATTAGGGGCTGCGAAAACTCCATCTAGAATGGTGAATGGACCAAGGAAACGTCACGTTTCTACATCTGAAGATTCTACAAGTAATTCTGGACTGTCTGATAATGATTTAGAAACTTCAATTAATCAAACACAAGTTATAAAAAAACCAAAAAACAAAGGTCATAATGTAAGGGATGATAAAAATACAAAGAAGTCTTCTTTGGAAGACATAAAACCAGTAGTCGTTGATAGTGGTATTGGATTTCATAATATTGGTGGTTTACAAGAACATATTGACTGTCTTCGAGAAATGGTGGTTTTCCCCATTATTTATAAAGATGTTTTTGAAGTATTTGAACAACAACCAGCAAAAGGAGTTATTTTTCATGGACCTCCAGGAACAGGAAAAACTCTTCTTGCTAGAGCTTTAGCTAATGAATGTAGTAAAGGGGGACAAAAAGTATCTTTTTTTGTTCGAAAAAGTGCAGATGTACTTTGTAAATGGGTTGGTGAATCAGAAAGACAGCTGAGACTTCTTTTTGATAAAGTAAGTTTTACTATCCATATTTATTTTTAATATATTTTAATTTATTGAGATTTTATTTTTACAATTATTACACCTCAACTATTGTTAATTCTGAATACTAAATACATTCATTAAAATAATATTTCCTCTGTCGAGAGTGGAAATATTAGAATGAATAACTATATGATGGATTAAGACGGTAACGTTATATTAGAAAAGAGAGTATAAATATTGTGAAGAACTAAAATATTGACTAAAATAGTTCTATTTTAAGAGATAATGTGAAAAGTTTCCTAAATGTTTCTTATAGTTAAAAGTATATACAGAGAAAAATTAAGAGAAAAATAAGCATGGACGGGTAATAAATTGTGTATAAATCTAGGTCAACATAATTTAATCATAAAATGTCTATTAACTTTTGAGTTATGGAACCTGGAATAAGTATTTTCGTATTACCTGGCATATTTTGAAGATAAGGCAAATCATTTACATTGCCTAGCACTTAGAAATTTATGAAAAGAGTAGAGAAGTCTTTAAAAGAAACATAACTAATTAATGGTAGAAACAAATTAGAAGACGAAGTAGCAAAAAAGTCTGCTATATCATTGTGCAAAATATTTACATAACTAGGAATCTAATTAAAAATAACCAATTTTCCTAAGTGAATTAATAACAACAAAGATAAGAGATATAATTTTATAATATATTATATTGAAGAACATATATGATACCATAACATTCGGGTGTAAATAGAAAAGTAATTTAGTTGAAAAACAAATTTTGAAATTGGAAACAGGAAAAGAGCAATCCATTAAATCACCAGATAGTGAACCACTGGTGTAAATTAAACATTCATTAGGAAAGTTAGAATGAACATATTGATATTAGAATAAGATATGTTAAATTGAGGCGATAATTTGAGTAAAAATTTGAATGTTAAATAAATTTTAATAGAAGTTTAAATTTAATTTTAATGTTATTTCAATACTAATACATTCTGCACAAGATAGAGGGGTAGAAGAGAGGGCACCAATAATATTTTGAATAATGCAATTAGAGGACAGTTAATTTTCTTTGGTGAATTAAAGATGGCAAAGAAAACTAAAATGAGCCATAATCTACTTTTGACCGAATGACTGAATTAAATATAAATGTTAATGAATAAGTATGTGAATTTTACAATATACCCTTAATGTATCTTAAGAGGTTAGCTCAACGATAAATAAAGAATAAAATTGTTATGTGAGGTTTTTGAAATGAGTAGCTGATCCCAAATACTTAGGGTAAAGTTGAGAGAGAAGAAGAACAACAAATTTTTTTAGGTATGCTTATAGTTATTGAAATATTAAAACTTATAAATATTTTCAGGCTAAAGAAATGAAACCTTCTATTATATTTTTTGATGAACTTGATGGCTTAGTACCTGTTCGGTCTGGTAAACAAGATCAAGTACACAATAGTATAGTTACTACAATGTTGGCTATGATGGATGGTTTAGAAAATCGAGGTGATGTTATAGTAATTGGTGCTACAAATCGCATTGATTCAATTGATCCAGCTCTTAGAAGACCTGGACGTTTTGATAAAGAATTATACTTTCCACTGCCTTCAGATAAAGTACTTTTTAAATTAAATAATAAAAAAAAAGACTTCACAATTTTACATAGTATGTTATTTACAGGATAGATTAGATATTTTAAGAATAGTAATAAGTAAATGGAAATGTGCCCCTGAAGATGGAGTATTGCAAAGATTGGCTGAAGAAACTGTTAATTATACTGGTGCAGATCTAAATTCTTTATGCTCTGAATCAGTATTACAAGCTCTTAATCGTACATACCCACAGATTTACAAAACATCAAAACGTTTACTTTTAGATAAATCAAAAATCAAAGTAAATATAAATAACTAAAATATTGACTATTAAAAATAAATCCAAATTAAACACAAATCATAACAAGCCAATTATAATTTTCAATTTTTTATAGAAACATAAAATGAAGAAGTTGATTTTTTTATTATCTTGTTATAAAAGTATTATATCTATTAAATAGTTATTAACTAAAACTTGAAATATCCATATTCAATATATACCTATGTCTGATGTATCTTAAACTTAGAATTAACTTTGTATAAATCTTATTTGATTTCACATAAATAATTTTAAATATAAATTTAATTTGTGTTAGGTTTTTTTTTAAATTATTACAAATATATGATATGCCTCAATGTTTGTTGACACATTGTTTAATTAAAAAAAAAAAATTTTTTTTTCTTAAATACATATTTTGAAATTTCGTAAAATATATTTAATCATTTTTATAAAATTACAAAATTATAGGTAACATTTGAAGACTTTGAAAAAGCATTGAGTAAAATTGTTCCGACTACTGAGCGTAATGTTGTTCTTAATCCAAAGAAATTACCAAGTATTTATCGTTCATTGTATCAAAACATACTAGAGGATTTTGTTTTATATATTAGTAATTTATTTCCTGAAATAAATTCACATTCCAATCAAAGGTTAGATATTAAAGTAACTTATGATGTATAAGTTACTTTCAAAAAATGATTTAATATTATATTTATATAATTATTATTTTTTTGTTTGAATTTCAGGTTGAGAGTTTCAAAAGCTCCACGTGTTCTTATACACAGTCTGTCTAATTCTAAAAATGTTCTTGTTATCCCAGCAGTGTTACAACATTTTGAAAACTGTTATAGACATACATTAAGTTGTGTAACATTGTACAGTAATTCAACTAACTCACCGGAAGAGTCAATAGTTCAGGTATATATAGTTAATTTTAATTTTACCTTTTAAGATTAACTGTTAATTAGTGTATTTTAAATAAGTTTTCATTAAAATAATTTCTATTTCAAAATAAACAGCTGATGATTTTTTTTTTGTATTAGATATTTAAAGAACTGCCAAAACATCTTCCTGCAATTTTATTTATTCCTAATATTGGAGAGCTATGGGAAAGTTTGACTGACACCTTACAGAAGTTATTTGCTGAACTTTTAGATTCTATAGATATAACATTACCTGTACTGATTTTTGCTACATCACTGTATGACTATAAAGATCTCCCGAAACCGGTAATTATATTTTTTAACATTATTAAATTATCTTAATATTTATTAAGATTGAATATTTATTAGGAATTTTTTTTTAAATTAATTAATTGAAATTTTTATATTCAATATTCTGAGTAAGGGAACAGTGTGTGGGTTATTCCACGGTCTATCTGAATAATTCTAATTAGCACTATCATAGGTTTAAGAATCAATTACAGGTAGCTTTATGTATTGAACAACAGTTCTGCTCAACAGATGGAGTAGTCATTTTCTCTTATCATAGCCAACTTGTCCTGGGGCAAATATGGTTTAGAAACTTGATAATAGGTTCTAAAGTGTCTAGAAAAAATGATACTTACAAAACATTTTAATAACCATATTATAAATTTGTTAATATTTAAAATTTTAGTTGTAATGAAATATGATGTCTAAAATATTTATTTAAATATTATTTTCAAGTATGATAATGTATCTTTAGATATTAGATTTATTTTTTGGAGAAAAACGAAAATACATGATTCCTAATCCATCAAAAAAGGCTATACATGCTTTATACACTGAACTCATATGCAAGGCATTAAAACCACCAAAGATAATTGAACCAGAAACTGTGGAAGATCTACCATTAGCTCCTACGCCTAGTCCACCAAAGCTAAGTGAAGCTGAATTAAAAAAAATAATATGTCAAGAAGAAAATACACTTCGAGAATTAAGAATTTTTTTACGTGATATTTGTGCCAAACTTGCTCGTAACAAACAGTAAGTATAGATATAATATAGAATAAAAGACAATTGTTTACAATTTTTCTGTTTATATGTAGAAAAAATGTCGTATTAAAATGTAAAATTTTTAATATTAAAATTTATATAACCTGTTTTAGATTTTTTATGTTCACAAAACCAGTTGATGTAGAAGAAGTACCAGATTATTTAGAAATTATTAAAGAACCAATGGATTTAGAAACAGTTATGAGTAAAATTGATAAGCATTGTTATGTTTGTGCCAGAGATTTTCTAGATGATATTGACCTTATTGTTCGAAATGCTTTGGAATATAATCCAGAAAAAAGTGCAGAAGATAAGCATATTCGACATAGAGCATGCTCATTAAGAGATAAAGCTCATGCATTTATCAAAGCAGAAATGGATTCCGATTTTGAAGAAAATTGTTTAGATATACGAGAAAAACGGAAAAAAAGGAATGCCACTGAAATTGAACAAACTTGTGTTCCAGAATTCGTACATACAGTTAAAAAAGAACAGTCTTCTGACAAAATGCATGGTAAAACATATTTTTTTGCTACATTTCTATTACTTAATTTATTTTTACTACATTTTTATGTTTTGTTAGAGCAAATTAATAGTGAAGACAACAGCAGAAAAAGAAAACGACGCAAAATGTGGCAAAAAGGATACACCCCCAAAAAAAAATCAAAAAGCCTAAAAAATTCAAAAGTAAAATTTTAAGATAAATTTATAAAACAATAAAAATAGTAATAATAAATAGAAATTAAGAATTTTGATATATTAAAATATTGAAACATTTGAACATTTTTAGTTATAACTACATCCCAGGGTATTTAGACATTCTCTTTAGATAAAATTTCTGACTTCAAGTTGTACAATCCTTGTGAAATAGTTTTTATTCTTAGATTTGGAACAATGTTTAAAGATATTGAATAAAATAACAGTTAATTATTTCTAATTTTTGTTTAAATTTCAAATAATGTTTGAAATTTTATAAATTAAAATTTCCTTTTTTATGATCATATTAATATATATATATATATTTGTTAGGGTTAAATTTGTAATTAAAAAATTATATTTTATATTCGAATGTTTTATGCAGGGAAAGAAGTCATTTAAAGTTAAAGTTTAAAGTCCTTTAAATTAGAGAAGAATATAATTTCTTTTCTGTTAAATTATTGTTTTATGTAAGTTTAAAATTATAGAAACTTAGCACCTATATAAGGGAGTGTGTATTAATGGCTGGGCTTAAGCTACTCAAATTTCAATGTTTTCATTTTTCAAAATTTCAATATTTTTTTTTTAATTTTATTGTACTTTAATTACCTGTTTTTACTAAGGAAAAAAAAAGTTCAAATTTCATAGATTTTTGGACTTGAATTTAAAAATAATCAATATCTTATAATATATAAGATATAAGTTTTCATATTTAAAAAAAAATTATATATTTTTTATAATTCAAATGACTTAAAAAATAAATTCTACCTAAAAAAATTAATATATTATTAAGTATACAAATAAAAATTAAATTTAAAGGCTTAAAATAAAATATTATAGCAAAAAAAATTTTTTTATTGTAAAAACATATTTTTTATAAAAAAAATTCACAGAAATATTTTATTTTACATAAATCATCTTTCATTGATTTTTTTTATCTTGGTATTACTCTATAATATGGATGATATAACCCGATCTGAGAACATTCTATTAATTAGATAAACTTCATGAGTTTTTCTTATGTGGCTTTACTAATGTTAAAACTAAATAATAATTTGTAATTATTTACTTTTCTGAAGAGTGCAATTAATACCAATTATAATTTTGAGAATTGAATTAATTTATAAAAATTACCAAAATGGAAAACATCTAATCCTATTAAAATTAAAATATCAAATAAATGATATCAGGTTTAAATTCAATGACCTAAAAATATATAAATTAATGTGTCAATTTTTCATATAATTGAATAAATTTTGAACCCCTCTTTTAGAATAAGAGTATCCCTTCCACATACCAAAAATGTTCTAATTACATGTTTATATCTGGGCCTATAAAATAAATTGTTTTAATATTATTTGTTAAACAATTATTGTTGTTAATCATAATAATCTAAAGCTGATTTCCAGAAAAAAAAAAGAAGCTATTAGATATACAAAATTAAGGTTTATGATCCTGTATTACCTATTATTTAGATTATAAGTATTGTTATTCTAAAAAATTTTTCTTTTAAACATATTAAATTATAATTGTAGTACTTTAATTTTTTTATCATAATAAAATTATAATACTTTTAGGATAACATAACAGCTAATTCAAATAATGCCACATTCAATGGTTTTGATTCAAGTAAGTTTTATATTATGTTTACTATATTGAAAAATAAATCTTATTGAAATATTTGCACTTTTTAATTTACGAATAAATTATTATACAAATCGATTTTATAAATGTTTTAATAATTACTTATATTTTCTACATAGTTATTCTTTTACAATTTATATTATTACTAAATTAAAGAATTTATATTTTTATAAAACAAATTTTTATTAGCTAATGGTCTTGATGAAAGTAGTAATGAAAGTAATCATTCATTAGCGTGGGAAGAAAGATCTGTTACCATTAGTCCTATACCAAACGAATTTAATAATTTAGGTTAGTATACACAAGATATTTTTATCAAATTTTAATGTTTAAAGTTAATAAAGCTTTAAAAATATAATTAGATTACATTTTTGTATTAAAATAAAACATACTTATTTTCTATTTTTTAGTTTGTCATTATTATCATCTTTTTTTATTTTAATTTATATGAACTACTAATTAGATGCATCACCTCCTATTATTCGTCAAGAATTTAAAGTTGACAAAACTCTTTTGTATAATTTCATTAACTCAATAGTTACATTTTGGAATGGAAAAAATGAGTGGAATGTGGATGATGGTATCATAGATTTATATTCTATGCTTGATCAAAAAATTTTACTATACAATGAAAAATGGGATCGATCTTCATTAATTACAGTATGCAGTAAAATAATTATTTCATCATTATCTAAATAATTCTTCTTATATGCCTTCACAACTCTGCAAGAGTTTTGGTTGCCAACTATCATAGACTTCCAATAATCCCAATTCTAGATCCTCTCCTCCCAATCTATTGCTTCCAGTTTCCCTGGATCTTGGCGCACCCCATCCATCATCTAAATATTATGGTATTTATAATTTTTTTTTTTAATTTTAGGAATTAAAAACTGAATTTGAAGATTTCAAAACTCAATATAATAAAGAATATGAATGCACCGAATAACTTTATAATTAATTATATTACGTATGCTGAGTTAAATGAAACATTTTAATTATAATAATTGAATAACTGTATAGTTATTTATTAATGTTAAAAAATTTCCTAGTTTTGTACTGCCATTTAATTTAAATACATAATTTTAATAGTTATTTTACAACCTATATTCTTAAACATGTATTTATGTGATTTAAATAATGTATTGTTTAGTTATAGAAAAATCATACTATTGGGATGTTTGTATACATAATAGTTTGGGTACTTTTTTATGGAATATTAAAAATCGATGATTACTTAATCATAAAAGATAATTTGTTAGTAGCTGAGTCCATTATTTCTCATAGCATAATGCATTACCTATATATTGAAACCATTTTCACTTTACCCTAAGAATTTTTAGTTTTATAATTACAGCTATATCGTTTTTTTATAACTATTGTAATAATTTATATCCCAATAAAAAATAAAGTATTATTTAATTAAATAATTTGATTGAAATATTTTTTTTTCATAAACTAATAAAATTACATATAAATGACCATATAATGATTTAATTTGTTACTAAAAAATGAGAATTAATATTTAATCAACATTCCATATTATTTATTTAATTACGTTGAATATTCTAAATACTATATTTTGTGTGTCAAAGTGAGAAAATTTACTTTCCCACCATTAAATACAGACATCATGTGTTGCTGATAAAGCTAAATAGGCCACCTCAGTTAGGATTGTCCATATCAGACAACAAAATTGACTCAGTATTTATACTGTAAATTAATAAAATAAGAAAAAGTAGAATAAAATTCTACTAGAGGACGGTGTGGCCGAGTCGGTAATGCGGAAGTGCTTGGGGTGCACTGCCTCGAGTTCGAAACTCGGTCATGGGTGGCTTCATTTGCCAAATGATCTGTTTGGTAGTTGGAGTCACTATTCTCTCTCCAGCAACGGAATAATCACCCGCCCTGAAGTATAAATGAGAGGCCGCAATGGCCCTTAATTGAGCCGATAAAAGCACTAAAAACAGAATAAAATTCACTTTAATTATCAAAAGAAATTATTCAAAATATACAAGTTATTTTTTATATTTATGAGTATTTTTATGACGAACTAATACATTTTTTTCATAAAATGATTTTTTGCAATTATTACATTTAAATGGTTTTATCTTAGTATGCTTAGTTCTGATGTGAACAATTAGAGCATCTTTTCGAACAAAAAATAATTTACAACAATCACATTGATATGGTTTTTCTTCTTTATGTAACCACTCATGTCGATGAAAAGAACTTAGATTGCTAAATGATTTCTCACAAATTTGGCACTTAAATTTTTTTATAAGGAGCTGATCTTTAAATTCCGGTTCATTAGAATGAATTGCATAATGAAGAATCAAATAATCTTTTCTAGGGAATGTAGCATTGCACATTTCACATTTAAACGGTTTTTTACCTTCATGTATCATTAGTATATGATTTTTTAAATTAGATAACCGACTAAAATTTTTAGCACAAATATTACACTTTATATGGTCTAAATTTTGTTGTACATATTTTTTCCCACTGTGAATTTTTTTATGTCTGCAATAATTTGATTGATCAGCAAATGTCTTGAAACATAATTCACATTTAAATGGCCTTTCTCCTGTATGGACCCTGATATGATTTTTTAAATTTGATTTTTGAGAAAAGGAAACTTTGCAAATGGGACAAATAAACTTTTTTTCATTTGTATGATATTTTTGATGAATATTAAGATATAGTTTAGATGAAAAAGTTTTTTCACACTCATTACAGTTGTATGGTTTAAATGGATGGTTTACACTAAAATGATAAATAATTTCTTCCTTAGAATCAAACAAATTATTACATAAACTACACTTCTTTTTATTTACATTAAAAGTTTGTTCATTAAGATTTAATTCAAAAGTAGTTTTCTGATATTTTATTTTAAGATTTGTTAATTCATGATTATTTTCTTCATTTTTTTTAATTTTATCTTCATGATTTTTATTGTATGTTTCATAACCACATTCAGGTATTTTTATTTGTGAAATAGTACCACTATAAAAAAAAATATTTACATAACATTTCAAATGTTAAATTATCACTAAAATACAAATAAAAACATTTCTAAATAACTTTGGCATATGTTAATCTTTTAATTTGATTAACTCAAAAAATCTTGAAAATTAAAAAATAATAGTAATAACCAAGTTTGGCATAAATGCATTTTATCACATCATCGAGATTTTTTGAAATTTTTGTTTTTAATCAATTTAATTTTCCATTGTGATTAAGAATTTCTAAATAAACATTGTCGGCAAAGCATAGTTATAAAGTTATAAGCTTACAAAGTTTTCTACTGTTATGCTTGATTTTTGTTATGTTTGGCTATTAATTTTCAATTATTTTCTTCAATTTAATTGCCTAAGTAATATTCAGTATGTTGTCACCAATTTTTATTAAATTTATTTGTTTCCAAAATAAAAAAAGAACGTATAGTTACTTAGATGCTCATTTGCCCCACACGTTTCAAACTATTGTCAAGTTGGTAATCTGCACCTATGCATCGTCAGCAATATTGGGAGGTTTAATCTTTACTTAAGATCTAAAAATTTGCACTATCTTTATTATACTTCCGAAAATTTTTTTCAAAGATTTTTGAAAAAAGCAATGAAAAACACAAGTTAAAAAAAATTTTTAAAAAATCTTAAAGGGGTGATAAAATGCATTTGTTCCCCAAGTTTTAGTTTAATGAGATTTTTTAAAATATAGCTAGATCAAATTTTAAATAATGAAAAATTATGTTAGATTAAATTTAAAAGGAATGTATTTATAATAAAAATAAGTTAAATATAATTATAAAAAACCAATAAAATATCTTACTCAGAATAGTATATTTGGTCTTTACCAGTATTGATATAATCATAATTTATCACATTATAATTTAAATTACAGTTCAAATGTTTATTTTCATCTTTTATAATAGAATTTGTTTCTGTAGTGATATTTTCAACACTAGTTCTGTAATTATTTACAGCAATACAATTACTATATTCTAAATGATTTAACTATAGTAAAGCCAAATTATACTCACTCAGAAAATTTTACAGTGTGAATATTAACAAAATTATCTTCTACTATAATTATTTTACTATTTTTTTCTTCTTTTACAAATATTGAATATTTTTCTGCCATTTCAACATCATTATATATAATGTCATCTTTAAGCTCACATTTTTCATCATCTTTCAAATAATTGTCTTTTTAATAGGAAATTTTATCAATATTTTCAATTGTTAATAAATATAATTATTTATAATTGTTGAGTGTTTTTATAAAACAATAACAGCTATGTCTAACTGAACTTAATTGTCTTTAAATAGGGTGAGTAATATTTAGTATATGTGTATTTGTTATAATAATCCATGATAGAATTTGCTCTAATTAAATTACAAAATGCAAAAAAATGAATTGTTTATTGAAAAATAAATGTACTCTATGAATAACTGTAACAAATTTAGAGATTATTTAATGCCTAATATTTTCATTGCATAAAAATTATTTTATCTAAATTTAATTATACTGTAATAAGAACATTCTTCTTAACACTATAATTCATGTTTATAATTTTTAAAACATTTAATTAAATAAGTTAAATTAATATGAATTACCATTCAATTGTTTATACATGGATACTTTTTTTATTTTTAAAATTTTAAACAGTTTGATTGATAATCCAGATCTCTTAGAGAGTATATCTCTCATAGTGTCTAGTGTTAATACTCAGCATATTTTTTTTGTTTAACATCAGCAAAAAATGTTATAAATAGCCCTAAATATCGCATGTTAAATCTATGTAATAAATTGTACTTATAATTACTTGTAAATTAAAATCAAGTGTCTTAAATATAATGTAATGTTAAAATTATATAGTTTATACCTTTTGCCCCCTCCCGTCTATAAGGTGTTACTTTTTCTATAGGAAGAAAGTTAATGTTTATTATTTTTTAAATATATAGTAAATCAGCCATAGATTACATTCCTTTAAAATATCATGTTCAAAATAAATTAAATATAATTATTCCAATTGGTTTTCTTATTTAAAATGAAAACATAAAAAAAAAATTATTTATATAGATATATTTTTTTTTCAACTTCTGGTTAGGTATCTTATTAAGGTATAAAATCATAATATATCTTACCCATGTTAGAAAAATTTTTAGATAGTTGTCTTATTAAAACTTATTCAAAAAAATGTTCGGTATTTAGAAACGATTTTTTGATAGACCATCAATTTAGTTAGTATAATGTCTGAACAATAAAATAGAAGTAAACATAATGTAGTTGTATTAACCACTTCTGTCCATTTTCAGTGCTTACACTGATAAACCACCCTGATTACCTATTATCAAATATTTCTTTTCCTTTTCCCACCAACTGAACTGTAATATTGTAAATGGTCAGTGACCAGATTCAATAATGGATTTATCCACTTTGACGAGTACCTTTTAAATTATTTTATTAACTGATATTATCACCTATTTATAACAAGGTCCATCAATAACTGTTATATAATCAAAAGTTTGAGAACGCATGACTTAAGAAAACTATAAAAGACGGCGACTTTGCAACGATTTGAGCAAACATTATTTTAACTTAATACTTTCGTTATACTCAATACATTGAAAAACTTCCATTACAGTTGAAGAATATTTTTTTCGAAGAAAAATCACTTAATATATGTAAGTAATTTTGGAAATTCTTTAAGTATTATATTTTCTAAAAGATTTTGTCTATCACTGTTTTTATTATTTTCTTTATATTTTTAAAAATTATATTTATGAATATCATAATAAAATAAATATTTTGTATCATTATAAATAATTTATAATATTTATTTATTTATAAACTTTTCATCATTTTTAATACGTGCTTGAGTATTAACTTGTAAATTTTATTTTACGGTATTTGACAATTATGACATCAAATATTTCTCGAGAGATAATCTTGTCTCAGCATAATTATCCATATTTGAAGCAATTTTTTATTTTTTATTGAATAATATGTTTGATATTAAAACTGAATTCAATAATATAAACAATTATTATATTGTGTTTTATATAAACTTTAATTAGGGTGAATAATACAAGTACTATAAAACTATAATAGTACAAGTGAAGGCTACTACTTGTACTAAAATTAAAAAATTTAATTTTTTAAAACTTTTATACATTTTTTTAAAATTCTGTACGATTTAATGTATTGTTTAAATTAAATATTTTATTTAATTACATTTTTATTCATTTATATTTTAACTAGAAATCTAAAAGCAAATTGAAATTGATTTTACTGTTTATACATTAACAATTCTTTAGAAAAATAAAAATTATATATTATTTTTATAACCAAGTGAAAGCTTTTTTATATGTTTTCTAAACATTTATAAAGAACATTGATTTCAATTTATCGTCTAATTTCAAAAATATTCGATTTTAATACTTTTAATAATAATAATTTGATAATTTATCCATTTAACAGTCTTAAAATATTCATCAAATATTTTGAAATCGTCATAATTTTTTTAACAATACATTTTTAATATAAAATATTAAATGTACTTTTAATTGAAATTCAATTCATACAATTTTGTTTACTAATGTTTAAAGTAATAAGTTAATAATTAAATTTTTTTATTTTAATCAAACACGACTATCAGGTTAATATTCTATTTGTAGAGGCATCAATAAAAGTTTAAATACATATGATAATAATAATGAGTTTAACTTAAAAATGCTTTGTAATAATTATGTCTACTTTTTCAATAGTATCATAATATTGTTTGAAAAATGTTGAATGAGTGGACATTGTTTCTTAATTTTAAATTATTGTGTTCAGGTTATGTCGGTTTAAAAAGATTACTGCAAACTAAATAAATTTCATTTGATGTACTAGAGAAAATAATATAAATTTTTATACTAATATTTTATAATACACGGAATTACCAAATTACAATTGAAAAATTGTTCTTTGTTAAATATTTAATATTTTTAACTATGGGAATTCCTTTTTGTTTTGAGTTGCATTTTATCATTAGAAAGTTTATGGTCGATGATCAACAATCGATTACTAATAATGCTTTTATACAATTAAAGTTTATTTTATTTTGGCTTGGGTTTTTACTATCGGAAATTGTGGATTTTATACATTTCTATTATAATTAAATTAAATTATAATTTTGAATAATTCGACGTTCATTATTTCCATAATAAATTAAAATTACTAAAAAAAACTTTTACTTTGGAAATAATTTAACTTTAAAAATTGAAAAAATTATTTTTAAAATTAAAACGTAACGATTTCAAATTTTTTTTTTTTTTTTTTTATGAAGTGTCCATATGTATCATTTATAATTAATATATTTGATTTTTTTGTCAAGGACTCGTAATATATGTTAATTGAAATTATTTATTTACTTTTTGAGTTTTTAAAAATCATTAGTTGTTGCAAGTTATACTTTATTTAAACTCATACGAGCTCAGAGTACATTACAAAGTGTCTTCAATTCGAATCATGATATTAATACGTAAATATTTATTATAAATATTTTATTCTTTAATTAAAGTTAAGCTAACTATGCATTAAATAATTGAAAACTTTTATTTATTTAACAACTACAGTTATTTTTTAGTTATCCAAACATAAATTGATTAAATAAACAAATTTTCGCTAATAAAATAGCTTAAATAATTTAATATTTTTTTATTTTAACAAATTATTATTTGTTAAAATTATTATTCATGCATACTTATTTGATATACATATATTTTTGTTACAGATGTTTAAAATGTCTTTGTTGCCTTACATCGTCGAACAATTATCTCGCCCAACCATGTACGATCAACATTTCGGGATGGGCATTATGGACGATGACATGATGTTACCAACCATGTCAATGTGGCCAGCTTATAACAGCAGAGTATACCACCGACCATCAGCCATGTGGCCAACACACCGTAGTAGTGGCTTGTCTCATATTCAAAACGATCACAAGAACTTTAAAGTCAACCTCGACGTGCAACAGTTCAAGCCCGAAGAAGTTTCTGTTAAGGTCGACAATAACGGCTATATTGTAGTTCAGGGCGAACACGAGGAACGCAGTGACGAACATGGTTTTGTGTCCCGTCAATTCACCCGTCGTTACAAAATGCCAGAAAATGTTGACCCAAACACAGTCATGTCTCAGCTATCATCAGATGGTGTACTCAGCATCATGGCTCCCAAAAAGGTATTAACCATTAAATTATAATTGAACGCTGTCACGCTAATTTACTCATTAAGTTTACATGCTTATATACAATTGATAAAAATTTGTTTATTTTGGTTCAAAATTCACTTGATATATTTTGAAAATATGCTTTTATAGTAAAATTTAGGGATTAAGAACTTTATTTGTTTAAAAATTTATTTAATGGATCAGGAAATATTTAAAAACGCATTAATTATAAAATACATGAATTTTTGATCGATTTATGGGAATGGAAACTTCGTTTTGTTTCATGAAAAAACGAAAATATAATTCTGGAATAATTATTTAATTAAAAAATAATTTTTAATGAACTTCTTTTACCTGAATGTCTTAAAATCATATAATCTGAAAAAAATTCCATTTTAAACAAAATTATTGAAATTATTCAATAAAATTTTGAAAAAATAACGTTTTCAAAGCTTCTAAACTTTATATAATTTTTTTCGTGTTGTTTAGATTTTGATAGCAAAATAAATTTATTATAAAATTGTTTATGACACGCGTATAACCAGTCGTCTTAACTTAAGTAAATTTATCTAACCTAAGGTTTGCTTAAAACACGTTTACTTTTTTGTCAAGAAATTTAAAAATTATGTCTTCAAAAATAATTTTCATTATCAATATTTTTATAATTTTTTGAATTCATTTATTAGTTGTATTTACTAAATCTACTGGAAAAAATTGTCATAGAGCACTTGTCCTTATAAATTTACTTAAAACTAATGAAATAATTTTTTCCTGACTATTTATTATTAAATTGAAAAATTATTATTAAAATTGTTAACATGACATACATGTACTAAACATCCGCAGAAAAACAAATTTTTTGTTAATGTAATATTTGTTTATTTTAAATACACATATAAATCGACATTTAATTAAAAAACATTTTTTAGACTTCTGATAAGAGTGGAGAACGACCCGTGCCAATTGTTCATACAAATCAACCAAGCATTAAGGTGACCAAAGAAAAAGATCATTCTCAACATAATGGTGAAAAACAATCTACAAAAAATTAAGTTACACTTAACCAAAGTTTTATTTGTTTTATTGAATTTTATTATGTTTTATTTTAAATTATGTTCAAATTTTTTATAAAAATATATACGTGAAATAATGTTGTGAATTAAAAAAATTTGTTTATAATAAATTACAATATTAAAAAACAAATACTATGTTTATGTTTCTCGTTTACATAACTTCTAATTTAATATTTATTATTTTAATAATTTAATCATACGGTATTACACAGAAAAGTATTGTCAGAATTTGAAAAGTACAATTTTAAGTTGGTGATATTTACTTTAAAAGTAATAATGTGAAGTAAAAATTACTGGTTAAATGAAAATTAGTATAATAATATCAATTAAAAGCCCAAGAACTTTAAAAACAAATTTTAAACTTTAAACATTTAAAAAAATTGTGAATGTACACGAGTAAAATATATTATATGTAATTACAACACAGTAAAGAAAAATTATGAATATTAAATACACCTAATCATATGTATGTTTCTCGATAAAAAATAATTAACTTATTTAATTTCCATATATAGTGACTCAAATATTGAGTTTTTACTTTTGAAATTTATAAAACATAAAACATAGAGATTTTACTCTAAGGTTAATACAATTACACAATTAAATATCTTATAACTTATAATTCGTATTTTCTTAAAGGATGAATAGAAGACATCCTTTACCAGCTTATTGGATTCTCATCAAATGAAATATTATTTTACAGTCAGTAGTTATAGAGAAAAAACAATAAGCTGAAAATTATTTGATTTTTTTGTGAATGATTAACAAGTTTTAACAGATCACATCCTAAGTAGAAACTATACGTATATTAAACGTAAATATTTAGTTGATTTTTAGTGTATTCATATACGTAACGATTATAATTAAAATATACGAATACAATTGGGAGATTTTCTGTTTAAATGATACGTAAAAAATTATACAAAAAATGAACGTTACATATCTCTCGACAGATTTTTATTATCGTCTTTCACATACGCTTTGCAATGAATTTATAATTTTTATAATTTAGCATGTTCAAAAAGTAAGGTACAGGTGTATTGTTACAAACAATGAGAACAAGAGAAACTCATTTCATTACTTACTGAACACTCTTTATATTAGGTAGGAGCGCAAAAAAAAAATCTATCACAAAAATTGTAATCAAATACTCTCTAGATTATTTTATAAGTACAAGTAAAATATTTTTTGAAAATTTGAATTCGAAAAATAAAGATACATTAATATTGTAAATTTGAAAATATATTTGTCCCAACATTTTTCAATTAAGGTCGTACGAATATTTTAGAAATATTTATTTAAACAGGTTTTTCACGAAGTAAAAAACAAAACCGAGCACGATACAGAACGGTCTTTCTTTTTTATAACTTAATAAAAAACAGCAAAAAAAAATAATTTTATGGTAAAATAAAAGATAATTTAGGCGTATCAGCTCCGGTGACTGATTCGAGCCCCCACAGGACTCCAAGGGATGGGAACCCAAAAAAGTAAGTCTAGTCCAATTCCAATCTATTTAAACTAAAAAGCACAGTTACCTAACAAGTCCAAACCGTCACAGGAAGCGGCATAAAATTTTTATGATAACAGAAATTATTATTAAAAATGAATCAAAAGAACTATTTTAAACATATTTGGCTTGTGATAGATAAAACGAATGCACTTTAAATTTAACCACTCTATTAGTTTTGTTGACCCTGAAGCTGGTGCATATTCAAATACAATAAAAAACACATGCAGGGTTTCCTCTTCACAGCTATCGATGTATAAAAGAATTCTATGACGGTTACTCGCAAAATATATGTTTTTGAAAAAATGTAAATAGCAAACATATAACCCAAAAATTACTGAGATGGGACTTAAGTGACCAAAAGGAAGAGGTACAAAATCCAAATTATTTAAATTATACTTAAAAATAAAATAAAAAATTAACTAAATACAAAAAACCTGTTACTAACGATCATAGAACACTGCTGTAGACATTGTAAACGATCACAATCGATAAGGAACAATTCATATTAATTATATTGTAACGATTACGATCTTCAGAAAAACGACCAATCGTAAATAATAACGGTCTCAGTTTACCATTAGATAACAAAATATCGGATAATTTTAAAACACTTGCATTTATTCAAAAATGTTTTTACTTATTAATTATCTATTATATAAAACTAACTAATTAAAAAAAGTGTATCTGGTAAACTAGATTTATACCATTCTTTTAAATAGACTATTAAAATTTTGAAATTTATGTTTCAGACCGAAATATACCGGTTAATTATTAACATTTCCTTGGTTAAATAGATATTTATAACATGCGCGGGGACATCCGTATGACATTGATATTTTTATTTATTGGTTTGTGAGTTATACATTACATAAGTTTTGAACATATCGTAGTACTTCTAAAAATGGATTTATGTGACTGCGGTGACTTCAGAGAGCCAAATACCTCTGTAATAACAAACGAAAAAACAGTACGAATAATACTATTTTTATAGTTCTAATAAGTTTTATTTCAAAATAATATAACTAATATCACAAAAACATTACTGTAAAATTTTATTTGGAAAATATTAATCATAGTACAAGCAGCCTCTGCCAAATAAATTAGACAAATAGTCATAAAAAATTGTTGTTAATATACAATTTTCCTATGGATAATTATTATTTTGGTATTCTTTACGTATACCGACAACGCTTCAAATTTTCATTGACGTTTATTTGAGCAATTTGTAATTTTTGACATTTTTAAAAATTTTTTTTTACTCAAAGCTGTCATAACTTTTTGAAAAAAAAAAAAGATGAATTAAGCTAATATTTTTATAAATACCTTAGATATTTTCCTTTCATTTGGTATACAATTTTTGAAAATCTAACCCTGTTCTTGCTTATACGGGAGTTTCAAAGTAGCAAATTTTGCATAAAAAGTTAACGTTCTTTTCAGCTTAACTTTTGAAAATGTAACGATTATACTCTGAACTTTAAACATATGATTAAGTAAAGCACGTGTTACATACTATAAGTTAAAAAAAAAAATTGTCCTGACACTTTGTCTCCTATAAGTAAACGCTCTCGAAATTAAACAAAAAATGTTATTTAGGTCTAAAAAGTTACCATTTTTTATAATGTTATAATTTTCTACTTTAATTTTTTTGAATTATTTGTAATTGTATTTCAGGTCAAACGGTAAGCCATATAACAGGGTGTAAGTGCCTCCATTTAATCCCATTTTTTTACAAAAAGNACATATGATTAAGTAAAGCACGTGTTACATACTATAAGTTAAAAAAAAAATTGTCCTGACACTTTGTTTCCTATAAGTAAACGCTCTCGAAATTAAACAAAAAATGTTATTTTGGTCTAAGAAATTACCATTTTTTATAATGTTATAATTATCCACTTTAATTTTTTTGAATTATTTGTACTTGTATTTCAGTAAGTGCCTCCATTTAATCCCATTTTTTTACAAAAAATAATAATAATAAAGACTTAATTGTTAGTTATAAATATTTTCAAAGAGAATTTTTGCGATGTTTAATGTCAATTCAATAAGTATATTTAAAGAAAATGGGTTACCTTTTGCAAAAAAAAATGTTCTAGTTACCAATGGCTAATGATAAATTACAAATACAATTTCATAATTGAAATAATAATTAACTAACAAAGGTCAGAATAATCGAATCAAGAATGTTAACTTTCTCTTTTTGATAAATCCATGCTTATATTTTGACATGGAGGAAAAATAGGAATTAATTTGCTTTTGGAAAAATCAAAAAATACTATATGTATTTAATCGTATATACTTATAAAACAAAGAACTACTACTAATCAGGTAATTATTAAGGAAATAGGAATTAATGTCGCTGTAGGAATATTCAACCAATTTTTAAAAATTAAACGCTATCTACGGGTTTGCATAGAATTGTTTTTAGATAATGATTTTAATTATTTTATGCTATCATCTATATTTGTCACAAATATGCCGCGCCTCCACTGTACCGGCTTGGGTTTTTTATTTATTAGTTTATTACTATTGAGACACTATTTAAGATTTGAGGACGTCCTCAAATAACTAATGATGTTAATATTTAAATTAAATAATAATATAATACGATTGAGACATTGTAGTACAACGGGTTAATTGGTTTTGCACATAACGACATTGAAATACAGTACAATATTGAAATACTAATTAATTACGATCTAAAAAGTATATACTCATTTTAAATTGTTAAAGTAAAATATCAAATGAGAGTATGGGTTTATTATTGTTATTAATGAACTACGTTTATTTGTAGATGAGGCTAAACGCTTATATTTATATGCCTATGTAATATCGAATTACGGTTCATGTTATTGGAGTGCGCAATATGTCTCAGGTGGTCTGACGGTTGTTGTCATGCGATGGAAACGCGAACACTCTTAGCAGACCGACAATGGCGTATATATCGGTAGTTATTATATTGATAATATATGGGTAGTTCCAAATTATAGAGAAGGTTAAAATAACAGAGCATAGAGAATGTCGGACGGTGAAGCGAACACGTATCAGCAAATAGGCAATGGCATATACGTCGGTAGTTATTATACAGTATCACTGCGACCCCTGAAATTGTTAAGAGGTTCTCGTCGGTAGCGGTCGGTCCGAGTTTTATGCCATCCTCCTTAAATTTTAGATGGTCAGAGAAAACCGCTTATCTAGTCATAACTTTTTTGAAGGTGTTTTACTTAATATTGTGTTAGCTAGATATTTTCGTGTATTTTAATGTGTTCGGAAATGAAAACACCAAAAGAAAATGTGATAGCTTTTATTTTTAATGATATGTCCTAGAATTCTAATTAATTTTCGTAAAGAGTGAAATATAAAAAATTTCTGGCTTTTTATTTAAAATTTTATATAATGATTATATTTTGGCCGTACTACATTATTGTAGTTTTGGAACCTAATACTTTTTCTCTTAACAAAAATTTAAAATTTTCATTAGTTTCTAAGAAATAAGTGTTTTATCATTAATGAATCAACCTGTATACTTTTTGTTTTTTGTATACGTTTGTTTGGTTTGACTTTTATACATATATTTTTGTTATTTATCATAAATTATTTACGTAAAAATAAACATATATATATATATATATATATAAAATATACACGCCTTATAGAGAAAAAAACGGGTTTAAACATGTTTTACGCGGGACTACTCTATTTGATGCTAGTCCCAAGTTTTCTATCAAATTATAAAGGAGAAAATTATCTGTGATCTAGCGTTTTTATTTTTTCGTTAACGTGATTTCTAGTATTTTATATTTACTATTAAACATTCCTATTTTTTTGTTTTTTTTAATGTTTAATTAATAGCTTCAGAGTTGCGTTATCAAAATTATAAAAACGTTAGATCACAGATAATTTTCTCCTTTATAACTCGGTAAAATTTAGGGACTCTATCATCAATACAGATTAAATAATGAAGTCCTGCGCAAAACAGTTTTTATGCAAAAAAATGATTTTTGTCTATCGACACATGTGTCAGTCCATAGTGGCATTTATAACGCGACGAATTTTTTGTTGAATTGCGGTAACCGATCACCCTCACCCATCAACTACTACCTTGCCAACGATCAAAACCAGTTATTTTATAGTTTGTTATCGACGTGCCGGGGTACCTTTTAACAGTCTCTTATCTAAATTTGTAAAAATATTGTTGTGATTGACGGGTAATGAGACTTAAATTTTAACTGTGTTCATTTTGACACGTAAATAACAATGCAAATATGATAAAAATATCTATTAATCGGAAATCTGTCAGATATTTACGTGGAGTTTTATTTTGTAACATCAGAAAAAATACTTGCTACGAATAATAATCCACAGCATATATTCCCACGACTGGTTGGGTGTACTTGTCAAATATTTGTCACTTGTGTATACTTGTCAAGCCGTCGGAACACTATACTTGTACAATTATTGGTCACTTGTCAGTTTCCCGCAGATTGTCGGTAAATGTGACTCAAGTCAAAGGAATTAATGGCTTGACAAGTCTACACTTGTAGTTTACACTTGTGTACTTGTCAAGTACTTGGCCAATATTTGATTTTAAGGTAACATAATTTTTTCTTCCCCATCCACCTATATTTATACAGTATAGCGGTGGTTCATATTGGTCTAATTAGCTAATTTAATTTAATAGGTAAAACTATTTTATAGTATATTTGTAAATATAATTTAATAGTTAAGGTTGATTATGTAATGTATTAATTATATAACTTATTAATTTATGAATATTAAGTATAAAATAAATATTATTGGACTGTTTAATATTTTACTAAAATGTTAATATTTGATAATTCTGTTTCATTTTTGCAAGTAAAAATTATATATATGGTGCGTAGCTGAAACACTATTAGTTTTACTCTGTCGCTTTTTTTCTTTAATTTTTAAGGAAACTAACCTCCTCAAATTTTTTTTAATTGCTATTGTTGTTGGGTACCGAAAACAAAATTAACACAGTTTAGTACTGAAAAATATTTTGTAATAATAGTATTTTCTATTTTATTATGTTATATTAGAACTATAAGTGTAAAAACAGTTTTATTTCAAGCTTCGATGGCTATAATTAAGTAAAAATGAATTAATCAGCTAATTTTTTGTTTTTGCAACCCGGCTCATAGAAATTAAGTAAAATGATAACACTTTACGTTTATATCAGTATCACCTTTAAGTAATCATAATAAAAATTCAAGCGAAAAATGAATATAGGTATTAAATAAATAAAAGGTTTTACTGGAAATACCAAATTACTAATAAAAGTATATAAATGTAATAATGTTACAAATTGAATGCGTTTCACTATTAAAACTCTATTTTTAAGTGGTTTCTGTTCAATTGTTTGGTGAAGTTCAGTAAAACCTTTGTTTAATTTTACGTTAACATATTTTTTTTATTTTCTTTTAATTGTTTATTTTTTTTTATTAATTTTTTTTGTTAGCCTTCATTACGGAATAATTATTATAGCTGAACAATTAAAATAAAACTATACAATAAGAACTAAGACTATATAAAAAAATATATATATTGTTATTAAACACAATTAAACATATCATTAATAAATTAAACGTACTCAAAATACTAAAAAAGAAGGAACAAAACAAAATAGACCTAGGATATTAAATTAACATAAAGAAAAATATTATATTACAAAGCCAGCTGAATGAACGAAGGAAATTATTTGTATAATTATTAAGGATGATTTTATATTAAGGATATTAAAACTATTAATGGGTGAAATATTAAGGGAGGACAGGAAATTGAACAAGAGTAAACGGTTATGTTGTAATGTTGGACAATCAAATAGTAATTGAGGAAAATTACAGAGGACTTTAAATTGTTTATAATTATTTAAATTGTTAAAACCATGACAACTTGGACCAACGAAACCACTCTTGACTTTATACATCTTTATGAACAAGTAAGTTTACTTATTATTATACCTAAATACTCTTTAAATATTACATAAAGTTGGTACTTTAATAACCAAACTATTATAGTGTTATTTTGAAAGGTTTAAATATTGTATAACTTAAGTTATTATAGCAACCTACAGGGCTAAAAATTTAATCATCGCAATGAAACAGACGATAAATTTTCTATATATTTTTATATCTTTAATAATAATATTAATAATATTAACTATACGTAATAAAATCAATAATTTATTAAAATTTTACTATGGTATTTCATTGTCTTATGCCTTTTTCCGACTTAGTCACGGATTTTTGGTTTATAAAAGTATTAAATTTATTTTTAAAATAGAAACACACATTTTAAATTTAATAAATTAATAAAATCTTTGTTTATAAAATTAATAGTGTTTAAATCGTTTAATAAAAATGTTTAGTTAGTTTTTATATTAAATCCGAATTAGTATATGGAATTAAACTTCTAATACAAATTTTAATGTCTGAAAATAAAGTATAAGATATGTATTTTTTATTTATTATATTATATATTTTATTTATTTATAATAATAATTTATTATAAAAACGATTACTTTTCAAAAATCGAATTAAACAAACAATGCAGATGAAACACACGTTTATTGGTTCCTTAAAATATAGGTTAAACTATTGTCAATTTAAATAATATCATAAATTATTTTACTACAATTCAACGTAATTCAAAAATATAAATACAATTTTATCGGATCAATTATTGAGTTAATTAGTTTTTTTAATAAGAATAAGAAAATGTTTTAAAAATAATTTAATCAATATACTAACAGATTTTATTTATTTAACTAAAAGTGTATTCAAAAATATAGTTTACTATTAATATTACTTATTGCTACGGGAGTAACAAATTTAAAAAGTGTGTCAACTAGGAATCATAGTTCCATCCTCTAAACACTTGAAAAACTCGTCAGGCTGCGATTTTAATTGTTTTAACATAATGTTAATCGCAAGACTTCTTTTAGAGTCTAAAACGTTGGTCACGGTAGATTTTAGTTTACCGTCTTGGATAGGCGATGAATTAGAACGCGGTTTTTCACCAAACAATTCTACAATATCTTGACAATCAATTGCAAGATTCAGAGGTTCCAACGTTGACCACAAAGAATTTTCTATGTTTTGGATGTTAACTTTAGTCCAATTGATGGTTTTTGTTTTAACGACCGTGGGTTTGATAGAGGATATGCGACAAGGAGATGGACATCCTGAAATTGTTGGGGGCGGTGTTGGAATAGAGGTCGGTAATGGTGGAGGATACATTATTGGCAAAGGAGGTGGGGCATGATGTTCTGTTTTGACTGATGGAAGTGGCGATGAGGTAATTTTCGACGTACAAGTCGATGGTAAAGTTGGACACGAATTCAAAGTGGGGTTTCCTCCGGATAACTGTTTTTCGTGATCCACTGGCAACGATACTGATTCTAACTTGTTTAATGTAAGCTTTTTTCGGCCGATTGATTTAGCTACTTGATATTTTCGTAGAGGATCTGGCGTAGCTTCCAGAAACACGTATACAAAAATGAAAGCTTTGATATACACGTTCGAGGTACAAAAATATGCTACCAACGATAGTACTAATAAATGGTAATGCTCTTTTGAGATCAACATTTTCACACAGAAAAAGTGCCGTAAACTTTTAAGCGAGATAAGCTTCGCGGATGATGAGTTGAAATATATTCAGAAAACTTTTAATAGCCAAAAACACAGAGAAGTTGTCTTAAACGTTAAAACTTACGAATTTTTCAACTCAACTGACGTTAAAATCTTTTGTTTGTTACTTTATTGCATGAATTATCGTAAATATTTTGACCAGTATAAAAATTAGTTATTTAACATGAAACATATACATTTTAGTAAAAAAATTTTATCGTAAAGATTATTTTTTTAAACATTGGAGGAATAAAATTGATTAAATTGAATAAATATTTTATCATATCTTAATTATATTGCAGTTTTGTTTAAGTAATTTTGAACATGATTAAATTCTTTCAAAATAAATATATCAAAAGTGAATATAGTAAAGTAAAATTACAACAATACATTTTAAATTAAATTTTTATTTTCTTTAAGTTAAGATTATAAAGAATAATAATATTAATGCTAAATATTTAATTTAAGTTTTTATTTAAGTATTTAAATGTACGCAAAGCATTGATATTAGCCATTTAGTATATTAAAGTTAGAAATTTTTGATTTCTTGCAGTTCTTTGCCGTTCATATTGTGAGGCTGTCAAGGTTTTAACCCCCTCTTCTTTCTTTGTTTAATTATTACTATAAAATGTGTATAATTTTAGTACCAGTAAGAATGATCGATAAGTGGAAAAAGCTATTTAGACCATATATTGAAAAATTTATCTCCGCATTCAAAATAAAATTTTAACCAGAAATATCCAGACTTAGAATTACCTATTAATTAATAAGCCTTTGAAAAAATTTAATTATATTCAAAATTTTTCAAACAAAACTGCAATATAATTAAGGTATGATTATGATAAAATATTTATTAAATTTAATCAATCAATCAATTTTATTCCTCTAATTTTTCAAAAAAAAAAAAATAATCTTTACAATAAAAAATTGTTATTAAAATGTATATGTTTCATGTTAAATAACTAATTTTTATACTGTTCAAAATATTTAATATGGAAACGATAATTCATGCAACAAAGTAATAAACAATAAAAATCGTATTCTAATATAAAGTAAATAAATTATTAAATTGTATATTAATCTAATTCTATCAACTGTCAATAGTTAACCTTTCTGTTTTTATTATTAGCACATTTGAAATTCGTTCCCTGATTTCTAACTCGATGATATAATAGAATACATAGATGATTGACAATGCACAATGTAATTGTAATTGTGTATTAATAAAAATAATGTATAAATAATTTTTTATGAACTTTAGGTACTCAATGTCAAGAAACAAAGAAAATATTTGAGATGCTTAATGGCAAAAAAAGTGCAATTGTAGAAGGTATTATTAAGGCTTAAACAAGCTCCTCTCCGAAAATTGCATTTTCCAAATAAAAAATATTTTTAAAAAAATATCTAACGTTGGAAAATATACAGGTAATTAAAATTTTTACTTTAATATTCTTCTTTAAGAAGTTAAATAATATATTTAATATATTATATAGTGTCAGATTTTTCTGTGAAAAGTTAAGAAACTTTAAGAAACTTACATTTTAAAAAGAACACTTTAACTCTGATGGGAAAAAGAAAACTTATCTATGAATCGTTTAAAGGAAAAAGATTGTTATAATTGATGAACATTTGGTGAATGATATAATGATGAATAAAAGCTCAGCCTAATAGGTAATTGATTTATTTATTTAATGCTTATTATAGTATTAAATTTAATAATTATATTTATTAAATATTTATTACATTTTAATTTTGAATGGACCCAATTATAAATTTCATTAATTTGAAATATAAATTATTTTTGGATATTTTTTTTAATATAATTTTACGGATGTGTGCGATATAAATCTTATTTTGTAATGTGTATTTAATTTATTTTTGAAAAATAAGTGATTAAATTCTACTTATATATGACTAAAGTTAATACATTCTTTTTTTTTTATTAATTTTACGTTTTGGAACCATAATTGAACCATTTAATATATTACATGACTCAATCATGGTTTCAAAATGTAACAATTTTATGCAGTTAATATTATTATTATCATTTATTGTGTAAATTTAAATGAATTTATTTCTAAAAAAATGTTTTTCTCTGTTGTTTTTAGTGATGAAGTAGATCCGCCAATGTCGAACGGTCAGGTCTTTTTGGCAACTCATCTAGAACATCGGATGGGTCTCTTCGGAGACCGGGTAGTTTTTTTTTTTAATAATCATATTTATGTAATGATCTGTATTTTGTTAGTTATTTTATTATAAACTAACTTAATTTTATTTTTGTGTGAAGAGTACGTGTTTCCTCTTTCTTCTAGCCAATGCTAATGAGCAAGTATCCAGACCACTCCTGGTGTTTTTCATTTATTTTTTATTAATATTAACAGATATGTTCTAATACCGTCCGTGATGTTTGTTATATTATTTGATTTTGTTTAAATATTATATTTCTTTTGTTGTCAACTTTTTTTTGTAGGTATGGTTTTTTATACATTAGTATTTTTGTCCATATTTTACTTAATTATATATCTTTAAGAATTAAATTAAATTTCCTTATTAATCTTAACTGTAATATTTGTATTTATTGCGAGAGTAGCTTAAATACTCGTGTGTATTTTATTTCTGTTCCTTAATCTAGACACGGGCTACAGTATGTTTTACATATCAACCACATACAACTTCAATTATCAAAGTTGTAGTTAATAAGGTGTTGTAATCATTTATGTTTAGTGACATATTAACCCAAATTAAATTATTAATTAACTTAAAATTAAATCCTATCTATGGTTCGTTAATTTTATATGATAGGTACAACATCTTACCTAGGTAGTGGCTACCCCTACCATAGCTAGTCGTTATGTAATGGGCAAACCATGTTGTTACAGACTGAATAAGAGCCCACTTGCAATTGTTATTATCAGTTGGGCAAACTTAGGGTGGTGATTATACTCGATAAAATTAAAATATGTGCTGTATCAATCTACAGCACTATTAATATGTTAAGAAACACAAAATATTTATTAACAAAAGTTTATAGAATAAATTCTGTAGAATATTTAACTGTCCATTTATAATTTAAACAAACTAAAAATACTATAATTGCTCAATATTATCTTCGATGCGAAGCTGAGAAGGTATTGGTTTTACTATGATGTGTTTTTTTTTTTTTATGTGTCTGTTACCACTTTTTCTCAGCTCTCACCGAACGGATTTCTTTCAACGATACGTCAAAAGATCACAAATCGTATCTAGTCGAAGACATTACCCTCAAAAATTGAAAAAAATTCCCTCGTTCCCCGTAAATGGGGGAAACCTCCAAAAAAATTACAAATTTAAAAATCGCTAATTTTCGAAATTTTTTCAATTTTTTTTACTTTAAAGTACCATAACTTTTTCAAAAATGAACATATCAATATAATTCTTTTTTATATAGATGTGTAATGTCATTACCTTTCGTTTGGTATATTTTTTTCATACATTTAACCCTTAACCTGCCCACAAGGGGGGATTTAAAATGACAACTTTTTCAACTTAACTTTTGAAAATGTTCCGGAAGGTCTGACACTTTTATATATATCTTAAATTAAAGCTAATAAAATATTCTTTATTATGCAAAAAAAAAATTTCGGACTTTATTTTATCTTCACGGTGAAAATAGCTACCAAATGCTATTATTATGTGAAAATTCTCGATTTTATTTTTTACATTTTTAACTTTATAATGTTATGACATATTGAAAAGTGTATGGATCAACATTATTTTTTTATGAGAAATAATATTTTTTAATAATCCCTTTTTCATTCGACATACTTTATCTTAATTAAGATATTAATAATGAACTAGCAGATCATGTAGCTTTTGGAATAATACACAAATTTTTAAAAATTAAACACATTCTAAAGATTTGCATCGAAGCGTTTATTTTTGATAGTGATTTTAATCACTGTCAGATATCATTATACTTGATTCATCTATGCCGCGACCCCCCTGTGCTGAGTTTTTTATATTGTACATAAATGATATTTTTTTGTTTTGTTGTGGTGCAATTAAGTATGAGTTTATAAATATTGACTGAATTGAATGAAAAATATTTTTTTTGACTATTTAAATATGTACGTTTTTCTCAATTAGATATAATGAGTTTTATAGAGTAAAATGTATACCAATAAAATTCTAAATTTATATTCGGTATTTACACCAATCATAAACTAAAAATTATCTAAATATATTCAAAATGTTAACGTAAAATACATGCACTTGTACTCGATGGTTATTACGATAAAATTAAGCTTAATAAACATGTGTATTATACTTAAAATAAATAATATATACACGTATACAATCAGGCACGTAGACATGGGTGGGCCTGGCCTCCCTTACATTTAATGTGGCCCAGGGCCAACCCCCCCAAATTTAAAATTCAATTATTTTTACGAATTATCAATAACGTACTAGGCCTTATAAACATTGAAATTATTATTAATTTGTGATTACTATTGAGTAATACAGTTATTATTATGGCTGTATTTTCATTTTTATATTCATAGAAAACGTTATTTGAAAAATATAACGTTCTGGACNCGTTATTTGAAAAAGATAACGTTCTGGACGTAATAATAAATTGAATAGCAGTTACTCCAAACGTGGTTGTAGATAAATTTTTTTTAACTCTGGTCCAACAAATGATAACAAACTACCAAGTATCATTGATACTTATTGAAATATGCATTGATTAGAATCTAGTTGATTACAAAATTCGATAGAGTAATACTCTATGAAAAATTTTTTGATAAATCTTATCTTTAATCTGTTTTTTTTATTATAATGTAGTAGTTATAATAGGTAATTTATTTGTTTTTGTTAATTTGTTATTTGCGTGCTCTAAATAATAGTAATGAATATATGACTAAAAATAGGCAGGAATTGTTTTTAATTTTAAATAAAATAAATTTTACTTTGTTTATAATTTATATTTATTTTCAAAATTATTTATAACTTATTTGTTATTAGTATTTAGGTATAAATTAATTTTTCTTAATAGCTTAAAAGTTGAAAAATTAAATCAGCTTATGTTCACATCATTATTTTATTAGCTTTGATGCAAAGCTGAGAAGGTATTGGTTTTACTATGATGTGTTTTTTTTGTGTCTGTTACCACTTTTTCTCAGCTCTCACCAAACCGATGTCTTTCAATGATACCTCAAAAGATCACAAATCGTATCTAGTCGAAGACATTACTCTCAAAAATTGCTATAACTTTTTTAAAAATAACCAAATCAATATAATTTTTTTTTATATAGATGCATGATATCATTACCTTTCATTTGGTATATTTTTTAGCTTTGATGCGAAGCTGAGAAGGTATTGGTTTTACTATGATGTGTTTTTTTTTTTTTTTTTGTGTCTGTTACCACTTTTTCTCAGCTCTCACCGAACGGATTTCTTTCAACGATACGTCAAAAGATCACAAATCGTATCTAGTCGAAGACATTTCCCTCAAAAATTGAAAAAAATTTNTAGTCGAAGACATTACCCTTCAAAATTGAAAAAATTTCCCTCGTTCCCCGTAAATGGGGGAAACCTCCAAAAAAATTACAAATTTAAAAATCGCTAATTTTCGAAATTTTTTCAATTTTTTTTACTTTAAAGTACCATAACTTTTTCAAAAATTAACATATCAATATAATTTTTTTTTTATAGATGCTTGATGTCTTTACCTATCATTTGGTATATATTTTTTGTAAATTGGACCTTTTTTCGGCCCACAGGGGGGGATTTAAAAGACAACTTTTTCACAAAAAATTAACTTTTTCAACTTAACTTTTGAAAATGTTCCGGAAGGTCTGACACTTTTATATATATCTTAAATTAAAGCTAATGTAATGTACTTTAATTTGAAAAAAAAAAATTTGACCTCTGGACTTGTCTTCATGGTGAAAACGGCTACCGAATGCTATTTTTGTGTGAAAATTTTCGATTTTATAATTTACATTTTTTACTTTAAAGTGCTATAACTTTTTAAAAAATGTATGGATCAATACAATTTTTTCATGAGAAGTAGTATTTATATACATCTTTCATTGGATATACTTTTTTTTTAAATCAGACTATTTCCCTATATATGGGGGGGCTTCAAATATAAAAAATGCATATAAAAAGTAGAACTTTTTCAACTTAACTTTTGAAAGTGTTCAAAGGGGTTTTTTTTATATTTATCTGTTCATTACCATCAGTCATACTCAATGACTGTCTGAAAAAATCATCTATTGTTTTTTGTATTATAAACTTTCACAAAAATCAACTATAAAGGATTAACAAAATAGGTTAAATATGTCATTTTTCATATTTTTAACATATTAATAATTAAAATCAGTATAAATTTAAAACAATTTTTTTTTATGTCAGTACTTATTTTTTAATAATAAGTAATTCTATCAAAACTTAGAAGTGATAGAAAAAGTCTAATTAGAGATTTAAAAAGAGCGCGAAAAGTTGAAAAAGAAAAGTATATTTTTGTTTATTATAATTTCTTTGCAGAATAATGGTAATTAGTATAAACCAATAGTACTTAGTATTAAGGGTGTAATAAATTAGTAGTAATATGTATTTAGGGAGCAGAATAATAATAATTGGTAATAATAGGAGATAAAATAGGAATAATTAGTAATTAAGGTTGTGAGATGCAGTAAGTTAAGGGTAATAATTAGTAATTCAGGATGTAAAAAATAGGAATTAATGGAAAGAAAAATAGTATCTAAGGGTAATTAATAATTAAAGGTGAATAATAAAGAAGAATTAGAGGTTATACTAAAAGTTAGGGGAATTAGCAATTAAGGGGAACACTAAAAGAGTAGTTAGGGGAATATGTAATTAAGGGGGTATAGTAAAGAGAGAGTTAGGAGGAATTCGCAATTAAGGGGGAACTCTAAAAAGCACTTAGGGGGATATATGTAATTTAGGGGAACACTAAAAGAGTAGTTAGGGGGAATGTGTAATTAAGGGGGTATAGTAAAGAGAGAGTTAGGGGGAATATGTAATTAAGGGAGTACGCTAAAAGAGTAGTTAGGGGGAAATATGTAATTAAGGGGGTATTTTATTAATTTGTAGATTCTGTAATTTTTAATTAAAAAAATATATAATGTTCTATGACTATATTTTATTGTATCTGTGAACGCTCAATCTCAGCTCTCGCTGAACCGATTTTTATGAACACAACATCAAAAATCACAAATTGCATTTAGTAAGACCTTCAAAAATTAAAAACGTTTCTCTCATACCCTGTAAATAGGGGAAATCATCCAAAAAATTACAAATGTAAAAATCGCTATTTTTTGACATTTTAAAATTTTTTTTTACTTAAAACTGCATTAAATTTCTAAAAATGGCCGAATCTATATAAATTTTTTTATAGATGCATGATGTCTTTACCTTTCATTTGGTATATATTTTTTTTAAATCTGATCGTTTGCCTGCCTACAGGGATTTAAAATGACAACTTTTTTGCAAAAACGTTACTTTTTCAACTCAAATTTTGAAAGTGTTCCGGAAAGTCTGACACTTTTATAT